TGTTTGGTATCCTGAGACTGTTTATATGCCTCTTGTCTACTTTTTCGTTCATAGGTTCTATCCCCCTCCCCCCAGGTGACCTCCAGTACTTTGAAGTCAGGGACCCGCTTACTTATCTTTGTATCCCAGGGGCTTAATTTAAGCAATATGTTATTAGGTATTGAGCTCTCATTTGTCAAATAAGTAGCTGAGTTTCTTAGTCCAGATTTAAAGCTAGCTTTAGAATAATGAGGGTAGAAAATTAGCTGGATGTAGTGGCATGCATCTGTGGTTCTAGGTATCTGGGAGACTGAGGTGGGAGGATCACTTGAACTCAGGAATTTAAGGCTGCAGTGAGCTGTGATCACACAACTGCACTCCATCTTGGGTAACAGAGCAAGACCTCATCTCTAAAATAATAATAATAATAGGGGTAGAAAATCTATACTTAGGAGAATTTATCTGGTGGTAAAGTACAGACTGGATTGAAATTGGAAAAGCTGATATCAAGGTGACCAGGTAAAATAAATTATAGCAATGTAGATAGGAGATGATTGGGGCTTGGTAGAAATGGTGGTAAGGGAAAAAGTACAAATTTAAGAAATAGTGTGAAGGAACAGTCAGCAGATCTGATGACATTGGTTGTGGGCATAGAGAATGGGGGAAGAATCAGGATTTCAAATTATGTGAACCTTCCCCTTCTTTCAAATTTTTCTTTTAATTTGTTAGGTGATTATGGGTCTTGGTTGACTTGGTAGTTCCTTAATAAATGAGTCAGTAGCATAGGTCTCTGAACTGCTGACCCATGAGCAGTGCAGTAAAAAGAACAGATAAAGTCAAGGCAGGCATAGTTGAAAACTGACCAACTTTGCAGATTTTAATTGTTTCTGAAACAGAAAACTTTGATTTGCTTTAGATAGATTCATAGTTCTTGAAGAGTGTATTCTGAGCCAAGCTTAATTTGTCGTCTTGCCCAAGGATTTTAATTTTATGTCTACATGCCATTGCTATTGTAGTTAGCCAGGTAATTCTTGGGGAGGCATAGGCTCATGGGATTAGGGTTAGGGTTACCACCCTGGCAACTCTGAAGACAATAAGTGATAGTTCCTAGGAATTTCATTAGTCTTATGTGCAGGCTTGTTGCAGGTCCCCAAATTGTTCTGAATAGTGCTAACAGAGGAAAAACAATTTCTAAACTGAGTCTGAAAATGCCAACCTGAATTTAAAAATAAGGGTAACATTAAGTTTTAAAAATTGAAGCATATGTGTTTACAGAGGAGTGCACAAATTATAGGGTAAAATGATCATCCTTGTGTAACTAACACTCAGATCAAGAAATAAAATATTACCAGAATTCCTTCTCCCTAAAGGTAGGTAACCACTGGTCTGATTATAACACCATAGAAAGTTTTGCTTATTTTTTTAATATTATTTTTTATTTTTCTTTAAGAGACAGAATCTCAGCATGTTACCCAGACTAGGGTGCAGTGGTGCTCTCATAGCTCACTGTAGCTCCGACCTCCTGGGCTTAAGCAAGTCTCTTGCCTCAGCCTCCTGAGTAGCAAAGACTACAAGTGCGAGCCACTATGCCTGGCTAATTTAAAAACATTTTTTTTGTTGTTTGTAAAGATAATGTCTACTTCTGGGCTCAAGCTGTCCTCCTGCCTCAGCCTCTCAAAAGTGCTTGGTTTACAGGCATGAGTCACCACACACATCCTGGGAGATAAAGTTTGAATAGTCTTTGGGGGAATGGAAGCCTTCTTTCTTTACACATCTGGCACTTGACTTTTGTCTGATGTTCTTTGTCCTTTTCATTACTTGATAGTGTAGTCTGAGTGGAGTATTAACTACTTTCTCATTTGCTATTAATTCTTTTACCCACCACAACCTGGATTCTGGCTTCATCACTTACTCAAAACAGTGGACAAAGGTTCCAGTGGCCTTCTTACCCATGGTGTGTGGGGGAAATTTCTAGTATCCTTTAGCCATTTACAGGTATTGAACATTTCTTTTATGTCTTTCTACTTCTGATGGTATCACCCCGGGGAATTGTAGCCGCCTCCTTTTTCTTTTACCCCCTGTAAAGTTACATGGTTTCATTTTGAAATCTAGTCTGAAAAGCCCCACTAGATGTGGTTGGGACAAATCCCTTCAGCCTGAGAACGTGAGTTTCTAGTTTCAAAGTAGGCCTCGCCACTTCTATTGTTTTGCTTTGTTCTTGCTTTGGTCTGTTTTCATTTGGTATCTAAGACCAAATAAAAATGAGAGCTGCCATAATTACAGATGAGATAATTCCTTGCAGTTTATGTAGCGGCTTTACACAGATCACTTCATTCGATCCCCACAACACTCTGTGAGGCTGGTGTTATTGTTACAGTTATAGCAATGATTGAAAATGTTCTTGAGAAACACCTGGTGATGCCACCAGATTGGGTTTTGGAGTTTCCTTTTTCATTTGATGGAAGCATCCATCTGGGATTCTTTTTAAAAAAATACTAGTCAAGAGCAGTAGTGAGAACAGGGGAAAGGGTAGAACAGAGTTTGGTCTGTAACTGACTGAACAACCAATTGAGATAACTTGCTACCTTTGGACCAGCTCATTTGGGATTTTTATGGGTATTTTTGTCTTCCCACATTTTGCAGGAACCTTAGCTACATGGTTGGGGCAGGGAGTGTGGGACAAGCGGGTCTGTGAATGGAGATAGAGTTGTGTTCTTTGGGGAGATTGTCAGACTTGCCAGTGGTCATTAAATTCACAAACCTCTTCATCAGGAGCCAGAACTAAATATATTGTGGTGGTTGGTTGCTTGGATGTGATAAGCTTAGGTTTTTTTCTAGGATCTATTTAAAAATGATTCAACACAAGAAAAATTTGTGGACAGGTGTGATTTGAAGATGTAGCCTTAGTTTTCAGGCATCCATTTTGGCCCCAGAAGAACCATTGATTTATTTTAACCAAATAGCTGATTTAAGTTCAGCAGATATTTCTTGATTTATGTTTACTTTTTGGCAGTGAGTTAATTTAACATGTGCTGTTTTTCTTGATTCTTCTACATCTTCCCACAGCCTTTTTATTTTAAACAGCCAGTCCCTTTTTAAAATGAAATGATATAGCACATTCGATTTATGAAATAGACTACAGCACTCTTTTATATATATATACATTCATTTTAGAAGTTTGTATTTATAACATTTATTTATAGTCAGTGAGAAGAATGAGGCTGTTTTGATCCATGCAAACACTTGAAACAGATTTAAGAAGATTGCAGTCTTATTTTAGTCTCACTTTTCAGTTTATTTCTGTGTTTAAAAAATAGATAGTTGTTAATAAAACAGCTTGACTTGCAAGCCAAACACATTTTTTAAGTTAATCTGGTAAGGAAGCGTGAAAGAGGAGTTGAGGAGTAATCTTTATCGTGAATATAAAATTCAGATAAGCCGGACTCGGTGGCTCAGCCTGTAATCCCGTGCCTTTGGGAGGCTGAGGTGAGTGGATTGCCTGAGCCCGCGGGTTCGAGACCTGCCTGGGCGACTTGGCGAGACCTCATCTTTACAATAAATCAAAAATGAGCTGGGCGTGGTAGCGCACGCCTGTAGTTCCAGCTACTTGGAAGGCTGAGGCGGAAGGATCTCTGGAGCCCAGCAGATCGAGGCTGCGGTGGCCGGGAGCGGCCACTGCACTCCAGTCTGGGTGCAGAGTGAGACTCCAACTCAAAAAAAAATAAAATAAAATAAAATTCAGGTAAGGAAGACCCTCAAACTCACAGGCGCTAAATTTATTATACAATAATTCACCACTCAGCTTGTCAGGATCAGTTGTCATTGCAGAGCCATTATTCTGTGACCAAAGTATGGGAGGGACAGCTGCGCCTGGCACTGCTTGATTGTGGTCCCCATGTTCTGTGTAGTATACTTTGCATGTGCTAGTTGGTGTAAGATAAGCTTGTGCAAGTGTGATTCAGCCTCTATAATTGGGACCAGTCCTAAGAAGTGCTGGTTTATTCACAGGCATGAAAGTTCCTCTGTCTTCACAAAAGTAAATTACTGGGTAGGAGCCTCTGGTATATTAGAGTTTGACATGTAACACATTTGAGGTGGGCTTGTTGTTTTAAAATGCAGTTTTTATAGTTGACTCTCAGTCTGTAAGTAATGGAGAGGATATAGGGAAGGGGAGGTGGGTAGGAAGAAAGGAATTTAGAAATTAAAAATTTAGAAATTACATTTAAAAATCAGAACTGCTGTTGACTCTTGATTATTTCTAGGGCAGGTTAATGCTAGTGAGGATTCAGAAATGGTCTGGGAATGGTCGGTCATCTTTTTGCAGACAGTTTCTGTGAAGGAGTGTTGACTCAAGCTTACTGCTGCAAAGATGCCCCCCTGCTTCAGTAAGAGGAAAAGAAGTGTGTTTTGGGGCTCCATATGGAAGAGGGAGAGAATGAGCACTGAGGGCCTTAGGCCTTCCTCTCCTCTCATTCCCCAGCCTGAGCAGTTCATCTGAGAGTCTGGTTCTCTCTGTGGGTCTCTGGTTTAGAGGTGCTGTCTAAGTTGGTGTCCCTGCTTATCTTGGTTCTTAGCTGCACCTTACTCTGTTGACTGCTCATGTGAGTTGAGAGTTGACTGTATGACTCCTGAAGTGCCTTCAAAAATCCCCTAAGAATCCATGCAACATTTTGGTGTAATTGCTGTGCTTCAAAATATGCCTAGCTATTCAGACATGGGGAAAATGTATCACAGAGTGATAGTGTATAAGGAACCCTGACTGTCTCCCTGAATCTTTTTATTCTGCCTATTCAGGAAGGGTCAGGGGCTGTTAATTTACTTTCAAGATGTTTCCCGAATTAAGTTTTGAATTTCCCTTTTTCTTAGCATGAATAATTGAAAATTGACTATACAGTAGCATGAATTTATAGAGGATACTAAAATTTTGGATTTTGAGCCAGCTGGGAAATTCCCTTCAGTTTTTCTGGCTTATACCGTGCATTTGAAGAATGTTGAATCAAGATGTTTTGAGGAAGTCAGTTGCTCTTGCTGTTGAATGTGACCTGGAAGGAACTGAGGAATAGTAAAACCGAAGATGTAGTTTATTGATTTTTCTTTTTTTCAAATTCCTTTTTTAGGCATCTGAAGAAGCCTCCCTCAGAGCATTGGAAAGTCTGATGACAGAATTTTTTCATGATTGTACAACCAATGAAAGAAAACGTGAGATAGGTAAGTGGAATGTTGAATTGTAAAGAGTAATTTATAATGAGAAGGTCCTGGTGGGGAGGAAGGAGTTGTTGATAGCCTTGGCTGGTTAAGTCTGCATATTTCCCCTTTTGAATTCTTGTACTTTTTGCTAGGGTTCTGCTGATTGGTGGCTGGTAAGGTCTGTAAACCTAGTTCTAAAGGCGTAGTGATGGATTTTCTTTCCTTTGGTTAAGAGGAAAACCCCTCTCCTGTTTTGTTCTTTTTGTTTGTTTGTTTGTTTTTTGAGTCGCAGTCTTACTCTGTCACCCAGACTGGAGTGCAGCGGCCGCTCCCGGCCACCACAGCCTCAACTTACTGGGCTCCGACGATCCTTCCGCCTCAGCCTTCCAAGTAACTGGAACTACAGGCGCGCACTACCACGCCCGGCTAATTTTTTGATTTATTGTAGAGATGAGGTCTCGCAAAGTTGCCCAGGTGGGTCTTGAACCCGCAGGCTCAGGCAGTTCATTCACCTCAGCCTCCCAAAGCGTAGGATTACAGGCTGATCCACCCGGCTTGTTTTGTTCTTAAATTCAGTTATGATAACGAACATTTATAAGAAGCCTATGACGTAAAAAAAAATTTTTTTTAAACATTTAAATTTTTTTTAGAGATGAGGTCTTACTGTGTTGCCTAGGCTGGTCTTAAAGTCCTGGACTTAAACAGTCTCCTACCTCAGCCTCCCTCCCAGGTAGCTGGGATTATAGGCATGAGCCACTGTGCCTGGATTGTTAATTTAAAATCCTCATAAAGTGTCAAAATGAACATGTTTTGGTGTATAGATGTCTGATCTGAACCTGATCCAGTGCCCAGAAGTCCCTTAACTGGTATTACTTTGAGGGTCTTCCAGTTTTTTTTCTCTTTACCTTTATCTTTCCCATTCTAAAAGTTTTGATGACTAAAGCCTTAAAATAACAGAGATGGAGGTCTTTTGGGGTCATTAGCACTTTTTAGAACCTACTTTTGAATTTTATACCCATTCACATAAGCAATATTCATTAAAGCATATAATAAAGCAGGGGTCCCTAGTCCCTGGGATATGGACTGGTACTGGTCTGTGACCTGTTAGGAACTGGGCCGCACAGCAGGAGGTGAGCAGTTGGTGAGCCAGGAAGCTTCATCTGTATTTACAGCTGCTCTGTATTGCTCACATTACCGCCTGAGCTCTGCCTCCTGCCAGCTCAGCGGCAGCATTAGATTTTCATTGGAGTGCAAACCGTATTATGAACTGTGCATATGAGGGATCTGCGTTGCCTGCTCCTTACGAGAATCTCATGCCTGATGATCTGAGGTAGAGCTGAGGCGGTGATGCTGGCACTGGAAAGCGGCTGCAAACACAGAATTTTGCAGATTTAGCAGTGAAGTTTGAGTGCACAGAGACCATAATAAATTAGTTGCTTGTAGATGCACATCAAAAATAATAATTTCATAATAATTATTCATGTAATTATATATTACAGTGCAATAATAGAAATAAAGTGTACAACAAATGTAATGCGCCTGAATCATTCCAAAACCATACCTCCTGTCCCCCCTGCCCCACCATGCTTGGAAAAATTGTCTTCCGCGAAACAGATCCCTGATGCCAAAAAGGTTGGGAACTGCTGTTGTAAAGTAGAAAATATATTCAGGTGTTAGGCCTCTACCTTAGGAACGTGTTGTACTGTGGTGCTAGTCTAACCTTTTCTTGTCCCAAGTCCCTATTTACCCCTGCACTTGAGAGTGAAACATGCTTTTCTCTATCCAAACCTTTTCTCTGTCCAAAGGCTATTCTTTTATGTGTTTGACTTACATTCATTTCTTCTCCCTCCTTGGAGTTCTTGTTCTGTGACTCTGGGACCCTGGAGACCCATATCTCTGCCTCTCTTGGCTTCTCTAAATGATGTTGGCCAGTTAAATACTATGACTGATTCTGCCTTGATCCAAAACTCAGTTGGAGGATAAGATTTCCAGGTGGCCAGTAGACTTTGGCTGCAACTCCTTTTCCCCTGCATTCTTTAAGCCTCACATCAGCTTTTGGTAGAGGCCAACTTCTTATCTCTTAATTTTAAACAGATAATCTCTTTTGGGTCTGCCCTCACATGCCTTTCTTTTTCTTTTTCTTTTTTTTTTTGAGTTGGGGTCTCACTCATAGCCTAGACTGGAGTGCAGTGGCATGCTCATGGCCACTGCAGCGTCCACCTGCTGGGCTCTGGCCGTCCTTCCACCTCAGCCTTCCAACTACTAGCCAGAACTACAGATGTGTGCTACCATGCCAGGCTAATTGTTTGTTGTTGTTTTTTTTTGAGTTGGAGTCTCACTTTGTCTCAAAAAAAAAACAACAAACAATTGACTGGAATGCAGTGGCCGCTTTCGGCCTCCACAGCCTCGACCTGCTGGGCTCCGGCGATCCTTCCGCCTCAGCCTTCAAAGTAGCTGGAAATACAGGCGTGCGCTACCACGCCTGGCTAATTTTTTGATTTATTGTAGAGATGAGGTCTTGCTTGCCCAGGCAGGTCTCGAATCCGCGGGCTCAGGCAATTCACTCACCTCAGCCTCCCAAAGGGCAGGATTACAGGCTGAGCCACCGAGCCCGGCTTTTTTTTTTTTTTTTTAGTTTATTGTAAAGACGAGGTCTTACCATGTTGCCTAGGCTGGTCTCGAACCAGCAGTCTCAGGCTATCCTCTCACCTTGGCCTCCCAAAATGCTGGAATTACAGGCTTGAGCCACCGTGCCCAGTTTACATGCCTTTCTTGGGAGGGCATTGTGGAGAACCAGAACATTTATAAATAGGGGATTACTGACAGAAGCTGAGGCCATAGATAAACTGGCTTCTGGCTTAGAAGACCCTGCTTACTTACCTCCCTAGGTTCTCTTTTCCTTAGTTCGACTGGCCTTCCTCCTACCCCCTGAGTGATCCTTTTGTTTTTCGTGCTACCAAATTGTCTTACACTTACAGTAAAAATATCAGTGGTGTTTTTTTTTTTTTTTTTTATAACCAAAGGAGGTGGAGAATCTTTTCCTTATATTAGTCTGCCGTATTCCAACACTATAATTTCTTTGAAGTTTTTTTTTTTTTTTTGAGTTGGAGTCTCCACATAGTGGCACTCATGGCCACCAGAGCCTCGACCTGCTGGGCTCAGGTGATCCTTCCGCCTCAGCCTTCCAAGTAGCTGGAATACAGGCGCGCACCACCATACTTGGCTAAATTTTTGAGATGAGGTCTCACCAAGTTGCCCAGCCTGGTCTTGAATCTGTGAGCTCAGACAGTCCTCTCATCTTGGCCTTCCAAAATGCTGGGATTATAGGCATGAGCCACCATGCCCAGCTTTGAAGTTTTTTGTTTTTTTTTTAAGCTTATAATTGAAATGCTTTTGGTTCTTCTCTTAATTTTTGGTGTGCTAATCAAATATTGCTACCTTGTGTGTTCATGAATTAAAAGTAGAACCTTTTGAACATGTTTGTATTCTAATCTGATTTTAAAATAGCTTTAAGTAACCAGATACTACAAATGTCTAATTTAAGTGCAGCCTAGAGGAATCCAGTGGTTTTGTTCTGTACAGTGGATTTGTTTTAGTTCTATTCTCATGGTAGGTTTATTTGAGTGTGTGGACTGGAACCATTTCTTCTTTTCTGTTTTCTAAGAAGAAACGAATGACTTTTTCTAGCTAGGTGGGAGAAAGGGGGAGAGATCTTTTCTTAAAAGGGTTCCACCCTCCTTCGAGTAAAGGTGAGTTACTAGTGCTCTAGAGACTGATAGAGCTGTTATCAGGGATTGTCAAGAGACTGGTCATTTGAACAGTGATGGACATAGAAGCATCAAGGAGGACTTGTTTGGAGACTTAGTGAATTAGTGGCAAAGTCTAGAACACAGCTCAGAGTTCCTCATTTCTAGCCATAGCTCATTCTCTCTGGTTTGATTTCACCTCTAGGATTCATAGAAACTTGTGCTTAGTTATCAGGACAGGCCATATTTGTAATGAGACTACTTATTGCATTTATCCTAAATGATAGAGAACTAGCAGAGCAGTGACTTTAGGATTAGAACAAGCTGCTATGCATTTTGCTTTTCCAAAGGCTTCCTAGAATCTCTTGGGGTTGTTGGCCTTTGTATTTTTACCCTTTTTGGACTGTGCTTTGTGACCAGTGCAGCAGGTCAAGGCAACTAAGAGGAAGTATGTCCAGAAACATGGTGGAAGACTTGAAATGCTTGGTGTCTTGTGGATCCTGACTGATGCTGACAGCAGCCCAAGGAGGAGGAAAACCATCTCTAACTGATTTGTTGTGTGGACAGGGCTGCTCCCAGCAACTCTTTAAATTGTTATTCTTACTTACAGATTATTACTATTTTTGGTAGTGGTATTTTAAAATAAAACCAACCCATATGAAGAGAGTTAGCCATCTTGGATTCTCTTACATTTTTTTCCTGCCCTGTCTTCGTAAGGTTAGCCTTAAACTTTTTCTGCTTCTCTAGTCATAGTTGTGTGTGTGTGTGTGTGTGTGTGTGTAATGTAGACTTTAGTAAAGATTTGTAGAGGAGTGGTGAGGAGATGTAATGTACAGCTCATACCCCAGAGGAAATAAGTTAGCCATCATTTTGAAGAAGGTGAAATGATACTCCTATATAACATTCTTTATTCACATTAGGTTAAATAAGAACTTTAACAATGGAAGTTTTTTCTCTGCCTAGAGATGTATTCATAGCAAAGTCATTGGCTTTTAGATGGTGAAAAACACTCTTAGGGGTTTGGTTACCTCAGAGTTAGGAAAATATTGTATAACTTATTCTTTCTATCTTGAAGAATCAGCTGGTTTTGACACTATTTACATTTATATAGAGAGAGTCATGTTTTAAAAAATAATGACTGCCCAGTCTTGTATTAATTTCGTGTATTTTCATAGCCTTCTTTTGTTGCTATTTAACTTTTCCAGAGGAGCTTCTTAATAACTTTGCCCAGCAAATAGGAGCCTGGAGATTCTGCCTGTATTTTCTCTCCAGCACTAGGAATGACTATGTAATGATGTACAGTTTGACGGTTTTTGAGGTGAGTTGTCAGATAATTTTATACTCTGCTATAAAGTATTTTGTAGTCAGGTTCCCGTGTCATGGGCATTAAACTTTAGCTTTAATATTCAGATGACTGGGAAAGAATGGTAACTTGGCTCAGGGCCTCCTCCCCATATTCTGCCTTTGTCTAGATGCCTGCTATTCTGGGGCATCTTCCGTTTTCCACACCAGAAAGGTAAGATGGATCGTTGACTTTAGGGGTAAAGAGGTAGGTCGTTTGTGGTAATATGTAACGTTCCCCTCCCTATTATCATTTAAAAGAGAAAGATAATCACAGGAAAATATTTGGGAGAAGGGATGACACCCATAATACCATCATCCCCAACCACAAACATTTTTATTTCTGTCACCGCACTTCCAGTCCTCATCTTCTGTACATACATGCTTTAAAAAAAAATCTAATTATAATCATGTTGCTCATTTTTTTAAAAGAAAAAACCTTTAATTTAAAGCTCTGATCTATGCATAGCATTAATTTTTTTTTTTTTTTTTTTTTTTGAGCTGGAGTCTCACTCTGTCGCCCAGGCTGGAGTGCAGTGGCTGCTCCCGGCCACCGCAGCCTCGACCTGCTGGGCTCCAGTGATCCTTCTGCCTCAGCCTTCCAAGTAACCGGAACTACAGGCGTGTGCTACCATGCCCGGCTGATTTTTTGATTTTATTGTAGAGATGAGGTCTCGCTGCCCAGGCGAGTCTTGAACCCGCGGGCTCAGGCAATTCACTCACCTCTGCCTCCCAAAGGCGCGGGATTATAGGCTGAGCCACCGAACCCGGCTAACATTCATTTTTATATCACGGTTAAATTTGGTACAAACTATGAAAGTGGTAACACTGAAGTTTTCAACAGAAATCTATTAAGATCCCTTAGAAAAATTATTTAAAGAAACAACTTCAAGTAATTTACTGCTGTGAGGTTAATACATAAAGAAAAAAAATTCACATATTTTACTGAAATTTTCAGTAAATAATTTTAGCCATAATACTTAATGTAAAATTAAAAGTTCAAAAGTTGTGTTTGACTCTAAAGGAATTAAAATTTTATTGCTCATTTTTGTATTCTGCTTTTTCCCATTTAACCTATTATTATATTCCCACAAGTAGTTGTATTGTTATTCACCAAGCCATTCTCCTATTTTTGAACATTAGAGTGCTTCTGTCATTATTTTTTTTGGTGGCCATTAGAGACAGTGGTGTTTAGAAAGGTTTTACACATACAGCTTTTTGTTTCTATTAAATTATTCAGCACATCTTCCTAGGAATAGGATTGTTGTGTCATAGGATTTGAGCATTTTTATTACTTTTATTGCCAAATTATCTTAAACCTTTATTTAAAAAAGGGCTCATTGTTTATTGAGGTGATATAACCAACTGTGGAATGAAAACCAATTATTTTTTGTGTATAGATTGTTCACTTAAAAGATGGACATTTATTTTTCAGAATCTGATCAATAAGATGTGGCTTGGGGTCCCATCTCAGGATAAGATGGAAATCCGTAGCTGCCTACCCAAACTCCTTTTGGCTCACCATAAAACCTTACCTTATTTTATCCGGAACAAACTCTGCAAAGTTATTGTTGATATTGGACGTCAAGATTGGCCCATGTTCTACCATGACTTTTTTACCAACATTTTACAGGTAAGGAAACTTTATCTTGTAAATTGTTTGTTTGTAGAAGTGATTATTTCTTTGCCTTGAAGAGGAGTTTCAGATGAGCATTTTGAAACTGCAGTTGTGAGGTTATTATAGGATAGAAGATCACATTCGCTTAGCTTTGTATTCATGAGACATATTGTACCTTTGTGCAGTGGAGAAAGGGGAGGAGAAACCCAGTAGCTTTAACCTCTTGTGAAATTCTGTTCAGTATATATTTGAAAACCTGTCATGTGCTGCACCAGGTGTTGGGGATGCAAGGGTAAGGCCTTCAATAGTTTTGTAATTTAGTGGGGAAGTAGCTTTGTCAATACTAGTTATCTAACACTATGACAATTACTGTGGAAGTGTATGCAGAGTGCTGTGGTAGCACAGCATGTAGACTCTGTTGGGGATGAAGTGTGAGATGTGAAGTGGTAGGGTAAGGGGCTAGATTGATTCCAGACCAGGAAGGGCGATGGGTTCCATTGTTAATTCTCAGTCTTTCCTTGGGAGCTAATGAGAAATTTTGAGAAAACATGACCATGTTTTTTTTTGTTTTTGTTTTTGTTTTTGAGTTGAAGTCTCACTCTGTCGCCCAGACTGGAGTGCAGTGGCCGCTGTCGGCCACTGCAGCCTCGACCTACTGGGCTCCAGCAATCCTTTCGCCTCAGCCTTCCAAATAGCCGGAATTACAGGCACGTGCTACCACTCCCTGCTGATTTTTTATTTATGGTAGAGATGAGGTCTCGCCAAGTTGCCCAGGCGTGTCTCGAACCCGCGGGCTCAGGCAATCCACTCACCTCAGCCTCCCAAAGTGCAGGATTACAGGCTGAGCCACTGAGCCCGGCTTATGACCACGTTTTTATGTTGGGATAATGACTAGCTGGAGTGTGGATTGCAGAGGGGTGAGGTGAGAGGGAAGGAACAAGGAAAGCTGCTGCTGAAGTCAGGGCAGGATGAGGAGGGTTTAAGCCAAGTGGAGACAAACCTGGTGGATGGAGGTGAGACATCAAAACTGAGTCAAGAGTCTTTGGCCAGTGACTAGATGGGAGGGGTGAGGAAAGGGGGAGGAATCTAGAATGACTTCTAGTTTTCTGGGTCAGGTAGATTTGACAGGCCAGTTTGGGTAGAGGATTATCAATTCAGTTTGGCAGAAAATGCATTTAATATTTGCATGTTCCTTCTTGTGTAATGGCTAATGAGACATTAGACAATGTGGATTTGGGGTTCAGAAGAGAAGTCTGGGCACAGGTCAGGATTTGGAATCATCAGGTAATAGTTGAGACTTAAAAGCTAAGAGGGACATGATGTCGCTCATTTGAATCCTCTGATCAAATTAGAAACATTTTCATATTATGGAAACAGTCTTGGATGTATGGAGAGAAATGGGTATTAGGTCCAGTTTATAGAAATAAAATTTCTTTGAAAATGAGTTATAGTCTCAGTGACTGTACATTCAGGATTTTCCAGAACAATGTCATTCTCTAATATGCTATGCTCACTCTCCCTATAGACCATTTGAATGATGCAGCAATAAAAAAAATTAGCATCAATGTTGCTTCTCTCAGATTGCCTCTCAAAGTGGCACAAAATTCTTCAGTTTTGTACAATGATTCATTTATTTAGAGATTTATTAGATTGATACTGCAAAAGAGATTCATGCCTTTATTCAGTAAACTATTTGTTGAACACCAGCCATGTGCACATGGGGATATAGTAATGAACAAATGTAAAGTATTTGCCTTCCTGAAGTTCATAATCTGAAGGGGGCAGACATCAGTAGGTGATAAGCAAATAACTATTTTGAAGTAATTGTAAGCATTATGAAGAAGACTAAATTCCCAGGGTAAAGGGAAAGAAACTATTGGGGGGTCTTATTTAGATGGGATGCTTATAGAAGACTTTCCTGGGTGATGGATGTTTGAGCAGAAACCTGAGTGGAGGTGATGGAGTGAACCGTGTGGATATCGAGAGGAACAGTGTTCTGGGTGGAGGGAATAGCAAGTGCAGAGAACCTGAGGAATGGCAAGGAGGCCAGTGAGCTGGGGGTACATGAGGTGAGAGGCTTTCCTGGTGCTCTCTGATACACTTGTCTTCACTTCACGTTGAGGACAGTTGTGGTCACTTTCCATGGTTCTCTAAGAGGGAGCCAGGAAAGCCTACTGGAGATAGAAAAGACCAAGAAGGTTGAGGGTCTAAGTGAATTCATTCCCGGGTTGGCTAGAGGCATCACATCCTGTGAGAAGAAGTCCAGGAACACGCGTCGGAGGGTCACAGTGCTGGTAATCAATTTCGTCATCACATGATCCTTTGAGTAGACCATCTAAAAGAGTTTTTAATTTTATTTTTATTTTGGACTTGTGATCTGTTTACATTCTAGGGTGCATATAGTTTTTTGTTTTTAAACCCGGTAACAGTTGGCTGTGTGGCATCTATGCAGTTTATGTTATAACTATAGCAACCACTATAACCAGGCAGAGAGGATTTGATTTGAGGCCCCAGAGAGATACTTAGAGTTCTGTGGGTTGGTTATGTCCTTTCTAGGCCACTGGAGAAGGAAGTAATTGAAGTAGAAACTGATCCTTGTACTTGCCATCCCTCTCCACATGCGCCAGCACACTTAATGTCTTTCTAGAACTTGTTCTTCAGATACTTTTTTTTTTGTTTTTGAGTTGGAGTCTCACTGTCACCCAGACTGGAGTGCAGTGGCTGCTTCCGGCCACCGCAGCCTCGACCTGCTGGGCTCTGGTGATCCTTCCGCCTCAGCCTTCCAAGTAGCCAGAATTACAGGCATGTACTACCACGCCCGGCTGATTTTTTGATTTATTGTAGAGATGAGGTCTCGCTGCCCAGGCGGGTCTCGAAACCACGGACTCAGGCAATCCACTCATCTCAGCCTCCCAAAGGCGCAGGATTACAGGCTAAGCCACCTAGCCGGCTCTTCAGATTCTTGAAACCTGCTGAGCTGAACCTGTTGTCTTGTTATGCCTGGGGCCAGATAGTTGAGGGGCAAGCAGCATAGGAAAGAATTGCTGTTTCTTCTCTGATTGGGTTGTATAATTAAAAGCTGTTGAACCCTTTCAGTTCACACTAGAAACCTGAACTTGCTCTTCAACCTAAAGGAGCTTATTATTTGTTAAACTGCAGAGATTACTTGTGCTATAAGCTTAAATTGTATATGTAAAGATGGTAAGGGAAATACTATTTAATAAAAAACTTTCTGGATGTAAAGCTAATGAGAAGAAAAATTACACATTTTAGCAAGCCCTGTTTGCAAGTAAAGAATAACATTCTTTTTCTTTTCTTTTCTTTTCTTTTTTGCGTTGGAGTCTCACTCTGTCGCCCAGACTGGAGTGCAGTAGCCGCTCCCGGCCACTGCAGTCTCCACCTGCTGGGCTCCGGCTATCCTTCCACCTCAGCCTTCCAAGTAGCTGGAACTACAGGCACGCGCTACCACACCTGGCTCATTTTTTGATTTATCATAGAGATGAGGTCTCACCAAGTTGCACAGGCAGGTCTCAAACACACCAGCTCAGACAATCCACTCACCTCAGCCCCCCAAAGTGCGGGATTAGCCACCGAGCCCGCCTAACTTTCTTTTTCATTTGCCTTCTTGTCTGACCTTCTCTCCTTCCCTCAAATGATGAGAAGGAGGAGAATATTAAGATATACTTTTTATATTATATGAATTTTTAATTTCTGGGGAGCACAGAGCAATTTATATCTACAGGAGAGTATATTTTGCCATTCTGTTTGGCAATATGAATCATTCCCTGCTGAGAGAGTAAGAATGAGGGCTTGCAGGGAAAATAGCTACAAAAGAGGTAAAGGAGAAGGAAAGAAAGGAAAAGGGGAGTAAGTAATGGAAATCTTTTAGACTACAGTTTGATAAGCCAGATGGAAAGAGATCCTTATGCAGGCATAGTTCTACTTTATTATGTTTACGTAATTGTAAAAATTGGCAGAGGAGGGCTCTTCTGTTCCTTCTCCGCTGCAGTATCTGAATTTAAGTTGATGTTAGAAGTAGTCCAAGTTTGTGAGAAATAAAGAGAAAAATTGAAGAGAATATGCTTGAAGGCTTAGTGTTCAAGATAATTGATTTTATAGAGAACATTTTTGATTGATCGATTGATTGATTGTGTCAGAGTCTCACTCTGTCACCTAGGCTGGAGTGCAGTGGTATGCTCATGGGCACCGCAGCCTCGATCTGCTGGGCCCAGGTGATCCTTCTGACTCAGCCTTCCAAGTAGCTGGAACTATGGGCATGGCCCACAATGCCTGGCTTTTTTTTTTTTTTTTGAGTTGGTTTCTTACTCTGTCGCCCAGGCTGGAGTTCAGTGGCACTTTACAGCCACCCCAGCATGGACCTGCTGGGCTCTGGCAATCCTTCTGTCTCAGCCTTCCAAGTAGCCAGAACTACAGGCGTGCGCTACCATGCCTGGCTAATTTTTGTTATTGTAGATATGAGGTCTTGCTAAGTTGCCTGGGCTCAGGCAATCTACTTGCCTCGATCTCCCAAAGTGCTGGGATTACAGGCTGAGCCACCAAGCCCGGCCTTTAAAAAAAAATTTATTGTAGAGATGAGGTCTTGCCGTGTTGGCCAGGCTGATCTTGAACTCCGTGGGCTCAGGAAATCTACTTGCCTCTGCCTCCCAAAGTGCTGGGATTACAGGTATAAGCCATCGCGCCTGGCTTGAGAGCATTTTTAACACACCATTCATTGCTGCTGGTTTTACACTTTGCTGCTTCTGAAGACAATTGAATTTACCATTAGTTTCCATTATTGAGTGCTTTTCCTGCTCTTTGGAATGAGCTTTTCCTTGGTGTGTGATGGGGAGAGTTCTTCTCTTTTTTCTTTTTTTGAGTTGAAGTCTCACTCTGTCGCCCAGGCTGGAGTGCAGTGGAACGCTCCTGGCCACCGCAACCTTGACCTGCTGGGCTCAGGCGATCCTTCTGTCTCAGCCTTCCAGGTAGCCAGAACTTCAGGCGCATGCTACGATGACTGGCTAATTTTTTTATTTATTGTAAAGACGAGGGCTCACCATCTTGCCCAGGCTGGTCTCAAACCCGCGGGCTCAGGCAATCCTCTTGCCTCGGCCTCCCAATGCGCTGGCATTATAGGATTGAGCCACCATGCCCGACCGAGAGTTATTTTCAAGGGAAAGGAAAATACCCTGTATTTCTTGAAATGAAGAATATATGGTCTGCATGGGTGTAGTTCCTGAGTGTCCGCCTTCTTTAGAGCTTATATTTTGTAGATTGAATAAATAAAAAACTTATTTGTGCCAAGGAATTAACTACATTTAATTAGCTGGTTGTAGTGGCTCACGCCTGTAATCCCAGCACATTGGGAGGTAGAGGTGAGAAAATTGCCAGAGTCCAGGAGTTCGAGACCAACCTGGATGATTTGGTGAGACTTGTCTCTACAATAAATAAAAAAATTAGCCAAATGTGGTGGCATGCACCTGTGGCTCCAGCTACTTGGAAAGCTGAGGCGGAAGGATTGCCTGAACCCAGCAGGTCAAGGCTACAGTGACTGTGAGTGGGCCACTGCACTCCATCCTGGGCAATAGAGTGAGATTCCCATTCAAAAATAAATAATGTTAATTTTGATTAAAGAAGAAGGTGAAGTGCTTCACCTTAAAGAAGAAGGTGAAGTGCTTCTCAAATTGTTTACTTTTTTTTAAAAAATAGATTGTATCATATAACCCAACAGAGAATTGCAGTGGCAACTTGCTTGATTTTATCATTTCTGAAAGTGAAAATATAAGCATAATAGTAATACTTTGAATTTTGCAAAAATAATTAGGAATATATAAGTGGTGTTTGCTGTTGTTGCTTTTTTTCTGTCTGTCGTTTAAACTTTCTTACGATAGAGAGAATATTAATGAGTAATACAAAAAGTAACTTAGTTTGCTATACAGGTATTTGCAAAATCCTAACTGTAGTCATAGTTTAATGGCATAGATGCCTGTTTTTGCTTTTAACTTTCTTGAGGCATGTGTAACTTAGAAATGTAAAGTTGAGTTAACAATCTTAATGTTGAAAAGATATCACAAGTTGATTTTCACATCTTAATAATCTTAATCACTAATATATATCATATACACATACACACACACACGCACACACAAATCACTAATATATACACACACGTAAAACTTGGTTACTGGGCAAAGTAACCAAAGTTCTGTTGGAATCTGGACATATATAAAAAATTTTTTGTTGTTGTTTTTTGTTTTTTGAGTTGGAGTCTCACTCTGTCACCCAGACTGGAGTGCAGTGGCCGCTCCCGGCCACCGCAGCCTCGACCTCCTAGGCTCCAGCGATCCTTCTCAGCCTTCCAAGTAGCTGGAACTACAGGTGCGCGCTACCACACCTGGCTAATTTTTTGGTTTATTGTGGAGATGAGGTCTCACCAAGTTGCCCAGGCAGGTCTCGAACCCGCGGGCTTGGCAATCCACTCACCTCAGCCTCCTAAGGCGCAGGATTACAGGCTGATTCACCAAGCCCAGCTATATATAAAAATTGTCAGGTATAAAAGAGCATTGTTTTCTAGCTGTTTTTAAGTTCATGGTGTTAGAAGCTTGTCCTTTTTAAAAATAGGATGAGACTATATTTTGATATTTACAAAAGAAAATCTGTGTAAATATACTCAAGTGATTTTTCTAAAGTGTTGATCGATTTATATTCATGTAAGATTAAACATATACTTCACAGGTTTAATGCTGGTAAGTTATCTTTGTACTTTATTAGTCTATTCAGAACTTGCTTTTTCCTGCCAGTTGATCCAGTCCCCTGTGACAACCCCTCTTGGGCTGATCATGTTGAAGACAACTTCAGAAGAGCTGGCTTGTCCCCGTGAGGATCTCAGTGTGGCTCGGAAGGAAGAGTTGCGGAAGCTGCTGCTGGACCAGGTGCAGACAGTTCTTGGGCTACTGACAGGTGAGCAGTTTGGTGGTGCCAAGAAACCAGCCTACAGATGCCTGGAACTCAAGCCTTGGCATTGAGCAGTTTTGAGATGTTGTTTGCGCTGTTCCTGAGATGGCATAAAAATGGAAAGAATTTAGTGTGACATTTCCAGCACCAATAGCATAATGTGTGGCACATAGTAGGACCTCAAAATAGATTTGTAACTTATTTTATTCACAGTCTTTCATTAATTGGTCTTCACTATAACTGTGACTAATGAGGTAGAGCCCAGGTCATAGGAATGTGATTATAGTGCCGATTATTGCATTATAAGTAAGGTGGGTAGCTAGCATTGTAGTTCAAATATTTGAATTTAAGATCAGGAGTAGGAAGATGTGAAAATTTTCCATTCTGGGTAGGAAAGTGAGGCAAGGAGTGGAGTCAGCTTCCCCTCTCTGCCCCTCGTGCACTGGGTCGTAGTTGTATATAGCATTTTGTCTCTTCTGCTTGATTAGAGCCTCATGAAAATGTGCAAAGGGTAAGAATAAACAAAGCAAACCACCAAATGAGATGGGAAGATTGGAGGAGAGTGGATTACCCTGAGTCCTGAGAGCTGGGACAGTTGGCTTGCTTGTCAGGCCCATGAGGCCCTTGAGGTGCCAGGAACCTGGGCTTGCTACTTGAAGAAATTGTGTAGTGGGAATGTTTTTTCTTCAGTTCCTGGATCCAGGTTTCTTCTTGGATGTCTAGGAACTTTATTTTTTTATTTGTCCAGTTTAGTGTTTGGTCTATGGTGTACACTTAAAATTGACAGAATGACTGATAAAGAGTGCAGTTGTCATTGGCCCCTCATCCTTCCTTAAAATTCCAGGGTAAACCCAGACCTCACAACATGTATTCATACAATGGCATCCCAACTAGAGTTAGGGACTATGTTCTGTACCTCTGTCCCATTGTGACTAGCAACATATTCAGTATTTTAAAAATTGAGATAAAATTCACATACTATAAAATTCACCATTTTACAGTGTAATAATTTAGTGGTTTTTAGTATATTCACAAGGTTGTATAACCATCACTACTATCTTAATTCCAGAACATTTTCATCACCCCCAAAATGAAACCCTGTACCCATTAGCAGTCATTTCCTGTTCTCCTCTGTCCCCAACTGCTGCCAACCACTAATCTACTTTATGTATGGATTTATCTATTTTAGACTTTTCATAAAAATGGAATCATGCAATATGTGTCCTTTTGTATCTGGTTTTTTTCACTTATAATGTTTTCAAGATTTGGAAAACATTATAAGTTGTAATATTACATTTTTGAGAATAATATATTTTTTAAAATGCTTATCATTATTTTATATGCCAGATTTTATAGGGGGTACAAAGAGGTATAAAACACAGTTCCTGCCCTTGGTCAATTTACATTTTTGTGGAGGAGAGAGAGGTAAATATAGGCAGTTAAAAAATGGCATTTTAAGAACTGTAAGCTGGGCTTGGTGGCTTAGTCTGTAATCCCAGCACTTTGGGAGGCCAAGGCGAGTGGATTGCCTGAACCCGCAGGTTCAAGGCCTGCCCAGGCAATTTGGCAAGACCTCGTCTCTACAATAAATCAAAAATTAGCCGGGCGTGGTAGTGCGCGTCTATAGTTTCAGCTACTTGGAATGCTGAGGTGGAAGGATCGCCAGAGCCCAGCAGGTCGAGGCTGCGGTGGCCAGGAGTGTGCCACTGTACTCCAGTCTGGGTGACAGTGATACTCTAACTAGAAAAAAAGAACTGTGATAGGGGTTTGTTTTATTTTCTGGCAATTCCCGGAGGAGGTATTAGCTGAATGGAATTTTGAGTGACACACAGGTAGCATTTAGTCTGGTGGAAAGGTCAAGTTAACATTTGGGGGAAAATAACATGTCAGAGGTTGAGAAAAGGCCACATGTTGAAGAAACAGTATAAAGTTCAGTATGGTGAAGCTTTGTGTGTGTGATAGGCTGAAGGTTGGGACAGACGAGGCTAGTGGGAGTGAGCAGAAACCAAGATTTCAGGGTTGTTTATTGGTTGAGGAACATAAGAGGATTAGTGGCAGGTTTATGGGGGAAGAAAAGTTGAGTTTGGGATATCAACTTGTCCAGAAGGAGGTGGATATGCAGGTCTGTGATTGCCTTGCCTTGTTTTTAAATTCCTATCTTGTGACGTATAGCTTGATATTTACAGTCAGTCAGAGTTTTAGGCCGAGAGACACTTGAGAGACTTTAGAATGTGTTTTCTTGAAGTCATGGCAGTAGATGAGTCACTCTACAGAGCAAAATGAGAGAAGAGGGCCAGTGAAGGAGGGAACCTGGAGAAAAATGTGTACTTAAGTGCTTCTTTCTCTGAGAATGGAGATAATAGTGAAAGAGATGGAATCAAGTTCAAAGAAACCAGAGAAAAGCCAGGAAAGAGTGGTGCCATAGGCTCAGGCACAAAGTGGTCAAGGAGGAAAGGAATTAAAGTGGCCATTGAAGGACATAGCAACCAGGTGACCTTGGCAAAGAGCAGTGTTGGTGGAAATAGTGGGGTGAAGTCACACTGCAAATAGTAGAGACCCAGAAGGTAGCTGGAGATAACGTAGAGAGGTATAACCATTAGTCAGAGGGAGGCACTCTGTATGGTATGTCGAGAGAGGATGTTTAAATACTGATGATTGTTTAAAAACATCAATAGACATTTTCTAAACCTGATTTTTGTATGTTGGACTTTCTCTTTTAAACTTTTTTCTCCTTTCCTGGTAGGTATCTTGGAGACTGTTTGGGACAAACACAGTGTTACTGCTGCCACTCCACCACCATCCCCAACCTCAGGAGAAAGTGGTATGGTCTGCTTGTCATCCATGGCATTCCTTTTTTTAAATGCAGTTGGGGCCTGGGCGCAATGACTCCTGCTTATAGTGCCAGCTGCTGGATAGACTGTGATGGGAGGATTGTTAGAGTTCCAGAGTTCGAGAACAGACTGAGCATAGTGTGACCTCATCTCTAAAAAAAATAAAAAATATTAGCCGAGTATGATGCTGAGCCAGTAGTTCCAGCTACTCGGAAGGCTGAAGCAGGAGGATCTCTTGAGCCTAGGAGTTGGAGATGGCAGTGAGGTAAGATTATATCACTGCACTCCAGCCTGGGCAACAGAGCGAGACCTCATCTCTAAAATAAAATAAATGCAAAAGTGGTCTCAGCAGGGTATAGCAATAGCTTATTTATGTCAGATACAGATGCCAATTCTTCCTTAATCTACGTTTGGCCTTTCTGCCCATGTTTTCTGAGTAGCTTGCTTTCTACAGTTCCTCATAAATACTTATACTTTTTAATATAATATTTTGAACAACACAGTTTGCTTCTTCCTTGCCCATCATGAAGATGGCTTCTTTGTTCTGTCATCCACCTTTGTCACCTTCAAGCTTTCTCTCCTAGTTTTTTGCCCTGATTTTTTCTTTTTCTCAATTATCCTGACTGTGTTGCTTGTGCTGAGATTAGCATGAGCCTTAAGGCTTGACAGATCTACTTTGTCAACCTCCGGGGTCATAGGAGGTGGGCAGCAAACTGAACCAGAGGACTTAGGAATAGGGACGTAGAATTCTTTCTTCCCCACTTGCCTAAAGACAGATTGGGGACCCGTGTGTGTGTGTAGTAGTCAGCATGGTATTTATACCAGTTAAGAGTAATTTGATAAAGCCTGGACATATTTGCAGTGGTTATTAGAATAGTTTACTGGTTGCTAATTTTGTCTATCATCATATTAATATATTTTTCACAGTGCAGAGTCCAGTTCATCTAAAGATGACTACTTTCAAGGATGAATGGAAAGAGGAAATTGTGTCTGAACAGGAAATTTCAGTTTCTGAATGCTTCTGTTTATACTCAGTGATCACACATGCTTTTCAAGTAGAGTACATCCTGTGAATTGGCACATATTTCTTCCTGTACTGTACTGTAAAGGTTGATGTGGCTAATGAGAAATATTTCTACATCTTCTCCTTTGCCCCAAGGAAATCAGCTGTTGAAATCAGATATCTCTAAGCCCATGCTGTTTTATGTAGCCTGTTGTTAATGTGTGGAAGTTGAAATTCATGCCAAGTTACTCTAAATTGAAAACATACATCAAGTTTGTAGGATTGCTCATAGAATACCAGTTTATTTCAAATTCTATTTATCATACTTGTATTAAAAACTATTAGAGAGTCGTTTGTCATACTACTTACATTAAAAACAGTTACAGAGTTCTAGGGGACATTAAAAGCCCATAGGGAATTGAACTTAATTGTATTTGGTTGCAGACCTTTATTCTTAAGGTGGATGATTGAGCCCAGCAGATTTATATTTTGCATATTTGAGTGATTAAAGAAAAATTTGCAGATGATTCAGAGATTTTATTTTATAAGTGAATAAACATACCTTGGAGTGTCTGCATTTGACTAATCTTTAAATTTGTCATTTCATTTAAACATTGTTTGCAAAGACTGTTTCTTTTGAAATAGATTTATTTTCGGATAGTTGAATACCAGCTTAGCGTCTAGTTTATTAGCAGCAGCAGTTCACTGCAGAAAAACTTATTTGTGTTTTATTTTTATTTTTTTATTTTTTGAGTTGGAGTTTCACTCCGTTGCCCAGACTGGAGTGCAGTGGCCGCTCCTGGCCACTGCAGCCTCGACCCGCTGGGCTTCGGTGATCCTTCCGCCTCAGCCTTCCAAGTAGCTGGAACTACAGGTGTGCGCTACCACGCCCGACTGATTTTTGATTTATTGTAGAGATGAGGTCTCACCAAGTTGCCCAGGTGGGTCTCGAACCCGCGGGCTCAAGCAGTCCACTCACCTCAGCCTCCCAAGGCGCGGGAGTATAGGCTGAGCCACCGAGCCCAACTTTATTTGTGTTTTAGTTAGCTTCATTCAGATATGTATTCTGAGCAGATATGTATTTCAGTTTCTGAATGCTTCTGTTTATACTCAATGATCACACATGCTTTTCAAGTAGAGTACATCCTGTGAATTGGCACATATTTCTTCCTGTACTGTACTGTAAAGGTTGATGTGGCTAATGAGAAATATTTCTACATCTTCTCCTTTGCCCCAAGGATAGACTTTATCCCCTTTGATAGACTTTATCTTCCTTAGGGCTGGTTTGGAGAATATCAGATAATATAGACGAAAATATATGCTTACCACTTTTGTGTGTTCCCTAGGTTTTATGAGGTTAGATGAAATATGAACTAATTTGATATTTCCATATAACAAAACCTAAAATATTGATACATACCTCATGAGAATTGCCTCCTAGACATTATTAAATTTTTTCCAAATGTTGAATTTTAGTATTTGAGGAAAAGTAAAATAAATTGAGACGGAGTGAGGAGTAGGGAGTTAGTAAGCTTTTAAGCCTGTATACTTCCTCTTTTAAAAATAACATTGCAAGTTCATGTTACAATATTTTTCTTTCTTTTTATGGTAATGTAAGTGAAGTAATCAGATCTTGCCTCATTATTTGGACAGTGCTGATGATTTAATCACCATTCATTTTGTTGATTTTACTCAACTGCCATTGTACATTGAGAAACCAAATTAAGCAGTAAAACTTCCAGAAAATTGTTTAGCTTTCTTGACCATAAACTCAGTTTTGTAGAGAAAATTTATTCTGAGAAACTTAGGGCCCAGAGAATCAGCCAAACTAATTTCTTAGCATACCCCATCAGCAGTCCCTGCTGGATGCTACCTACCCTGTGTGAACTCCTGTTGTGGCTCCCTGTGAGATGCAGTAACTCTGTTAGGCTTTTGTTCTCTTTTCCCATATGCTTTCTTTAAGTCTTCTGTCTGACCACTTTCTGAGAACAGAGTCCAGGGAGTAGGTCCTGCAACAACTACTGTTAACAGTCTGGATATAGAAAAAGCTTGGAAGAGGTGTGTGGGTTTTTCCTCAGCATAGTTCCCCAATTTGTTAATCTCTCTCTTCTGCTCACCACAGTAGTAGTTACTTCATTAGTCCAAACTGCTGTGAAGATGATGGTTTTACTTCTCGCTTACAAACAAGGAAAAGGGTTCATGGAGGGTAACTTGCCAAAGGTCACATTGCCAGTGATTGGTGGAGTGGGAACATGAACTAACTCCCCCTTCCTCCCCACTGAATGCTGGCATTCCAAGTCTAGGTGTGGTACTGGAAATGCTGCAGCATGAAGCAGAGTTTCATTCTGGGATAATTCCTTCCACTTTGATTACAGTATAATTTTTGAAAAACTCTCCCACAATCTATTAAAATATCTAAAATCATTTCAATTGAGTAAAACAATTTTTATTGAGAAATGACATTAAAATATTTGTTCTTTTGAGGACAAAAATGCAGATCTTCCACCTAAACAATTTTTACCTTTGCATAATCCTGTTCAACCTTTGTCCTTACACATTTATCTTTCTGTAGTTGCAGTCATGGTATACACATGCTATATGATTTTAGATTATGCACATTTTTCTATATTTCTTTTCTTTTTTTTTTTCGAGATAGGGACTCACTCTATTGCTCACCCTGGAGTGCAGATCCTAGCTCACTGCAGCCTTGACCTCCTGAACTCGAATGATCCTTCTATCTCAGTCTCCCAAGTAGCTTTGACAACAGGTGTGTGCACCACACCTGGATAATTTAAAAAATTTTTTTGTTTTGTAGAGACGAGATCTCACTGTGCTGCCCAAACTCGTCTTGAACTCTTGGGATTAAGTTATCCTTCTGCCTTGTCCTCTCAAAGTGCTGGGATTATAGGTGTGAGCCACCATACCTGGCCTTCTATATTCTTATTGCTTATTTTTCCTAACTGCATAATCTTTCCAGTTGACTTGCCTTTTGGAAGAAATTTTGACATGGAGGCAGACCTGGGTCTCAGTTTCAGCTCTGCCTCTTACTAGCTAAGAGATGTGGGGAAATAGTTTATCTGCCCGTGCTTTAGTTATTCTAACAGTCTGAAAATGTAGGTAATAATAATAATACCTACCTTAGAGTTTTGAGCATTAAGTGAGAATATTCACATAAACTTTTCAGTGTAGGGCCAAGCAAATATTAACACAACAAATGGTAGGTATTATTATTATTATTATTATTATTATCGTTTGATGTTTTGCTTTTTCCTCTTAGCAATTCTATTCTGGAAGAAAATTCTTCTAAGCCACGGAATAGGGACAGCTTTTGCTTCTTCTTTTAATAATGAAAATTAAACTCCTTAGTAATAAAATCAAAGTCTGGGTGCAGTGGCTCAAGCCTGTAATCCCAGCACTTTGGGAGGCCATGGTGAGAGGATTGCCTGAGCACAGAGGTTCAAGACAAGCCTGGGCAACTTGGGAAGACCTCGTCTCTACAGTGTATCAAAAAGAAAGTTAGCCAGGTGTGGTGGTGCATTCCTGTAGTTCCAGCTACATGGAAGACTGAGGCAGAAGGATCGCCTGAGCCCAGCGGGCCAACGCTGGGGTAGCTGTGAGCGTGCCACTGCACTCCAGTCTGGGCGACAGAGTGAGACTGACTTAAAAAAATGAAATAAAATAAAATACAATCACAAAATCTTCATTTTAATGGTGGATGAGATTGATGCTAAGAAAAATTAACTAACTTGTTCATATTCATCCAGCATTAGTTCAAGGAAGCAGTTATCGATAGATCTGAGAAACTCTGGAGGTCCCCTTGATCTTTCAGGGGGTCCCAAAGGTCAGATATGTGTTCGCAAAAATACTAAGACATTGCTTATCATTTTTAGTCTCATCTTCTCATGAGAATATAGAATAGAAAAGCTCATTCAGATTCTGCATTGCAATTAACCTTTAAGAAATTATTACTTGTCAGATTTTAATCTAAATTATAACATAGCCACAGTTATTTGAAAAGGCCACTAAAACACTTCTTTATTTTTCAATTGCATATCTTTTTCGTTTTCAATTGCGTATTGCTGGCTTTTCTTCATAGACTTTAAAGAAAACAATTATTGCACCAGAGTGAAGGCAGTAGCAGATGAGAGAATCTGCCTGTGTTTTAAACCAGAGGCTAAAGGGATTTTCAAAAATAAGAAGACAGTGCTATTCTTCTTAGTAATTTTTGGGGGTAAAATATAGTTGTTTTCATTTAAAAATGTTACTTATACTAACAGGTAATAGGTTTATTATTAAATGAATTAAATATTTAAATATTTCTCAGCTTTAATTTCTATTATGGCAAGTATTGTTCTTATGAATAACCCACAAAGGAGCTTTCTCTTTGGGATCCTTAGTAATTTTTAGGAGCGTTAAAGGAATTGTGAGACCCAAATGTTTGAGACCTGCTGCTGTAAAGGACACAATAAAATGTAAAAATTTACCCAGTAGCCAACCATACAGAAATAATGTCAAATAATATTTGGTGATATTCCACACATCTCTTTTTATGCAGATATAGATAAGACTTTATATTGGATAAATGGACAAGACAAAATAGCATTATATCATATTTTGTTATTTTTAATAAAAACAGTTAAATTTAGTTTTACTTGAGTTTAACAGAAGATAGTAAATGGAAGGAATTGCTTTTTCTACAAGAAATCTTAATTTCTAAAAGATAACCTCTAAGTTTAAGAAAAACATTATGAAAACCAGTTTCTTACTATGTTTTGATTTTATTTATTTTCCTTCTCTTTCTCCTCTTCCCCTTCTCATGCTTTAATTTTAGAACCTGTATTTTGGAACTTCTTGCTTATGAAAGATGAGAAAGTTAGGTAGCATAACCTTTATAATTCCTGGGTTTGTTTAGTCTTGAGTCTATATTGAAATCAGTGATGGTATTATCTTTTTGCCACAACTTTTTCATTCCTTAATTCTTAATTTTGATCTATCTTTTTATTTGCATTTCTTTGTGTAGTATCCCTAAGAAGAATTGGTGGAGTTATCTGAGTTTTTGCATGTTTCAGAAAATGTCACCTTTATACTCAAAGGAGAACCTTAGGTTTAGTCATACTTTGCCCCAGAACTGGTAGACAGTATACCTCTGTCTTCTGACTTTGAATGTTACTGTGGAGAAGTCTGGTTTGGATGTTTTCTCCTTTGTACGTGTGCTTTTTCTGCTTGCATTCCTTCCTCATTCCTAAAATTCTTAGTAGTGATTACTCCTGTTATTTTTTTCCTGGACAGGATGAGCCCTTTTGTAGAGACAGATCTTTATTTCAGGGAAATTTTCTTTTTGTTGTTGTTTTATATATTGTTTTAGTTTTAGATATTGATTTTATTTTGTTTTCCTTAAAATAATTTTAGTTTCTTTTCCCATTTCATTTTGTATAATTTCCTTTATTCTGATGCTTTCAAAACATTAAGTGAACATGAGTCACCTGAAGAGCTTAAAAGAACACAGATTCCTGAGGCCTGATACTTTGCATTTCTCATGGCTCTCAGGTTATGCTGCTGCTGATACAGATCCACAGATTATACCTTGAGTAGCTCAGCCGGTGGTTCTCAGATTTTTGGTCTGCAGAGTCCCTTTCCTCTTAAAAATTATTGAGAGGCCGGTCACAGTGGCTTACCCTATAATCCCATCACTTTGGGAAGCAGTGGTGGGAGGATTACCTGGGCAACCTGGTGAGACCTTATCCCTACAGTAAAAAAAAAAAAAATTAGGTGGGTGTGGTAGCACATGCCTGTAATTCCAGTTACTTGGAAGGCTGAGGTAGAAGGATCACCTGAGCCCAGCAGGTCAAGGCTGTGATGACGAAGGCCATGCCGCTGCATTCCAGCCTGGGTGACAGAGTGACACTCCAACTCAAAAAAAAAAAATTAAGCCAGGCTCGGTGGCTCAGCCTGTCATCCCGCACCTTTGGGAGGCTGAGGTGAGTGGATTGCCTGAGTCTGCGGGTTCGAGACCCGCCTGGGCAGTGAGACCTCATCTCTATAATAAATCAAAAAATCAGCCGGGCGTGGTAGCGCATGCCTGTAATTCCGGCTACTCGGAAGGCTGAGGCGGAAGGATCGCCGGAGCCCAGCAGGTCGAGGCTGCGGTGATCGGGAGCGACCACTGCACTCCAGTCTGGGCAACAGAGTGAGACGCCAACTCAAAAAAAAAAAAAAATAGAAAAAAAAAATTAATTGAAGTCCTCAAAAAGCTTTATGGATTATAATTTTTATAGTAAAACTTGATTCATTTAAAAATAACTGGGATGAACCCATTACATATTAACAGATAATATATTTTGATTAAAAAATGTATTTCCAAAGAAAGAAAAATTTACTAAAAAGAGTGGCATTCTTTTACATTTTTGTGGCTTAATACATGATAGCTTCTGCATTTTATCTGTTGCTGTATCACATGTAATGTAGCCTGGAAAGCTCCACTATAATGAAAGAGAAAGGAAAATAACATTTGAGTATTCTTTAAAAATAATTTTGAAAATTTGTTGTGGACTCTCCGGGGTTCTCAGATCAAACTTTGAGAACTTTTGCTTTTATATGTATATATACATAAATACATATCTATATGTGTGTGTGTATATATATATATTTTTAAATTTTTTTTAGTTGGAATCTCACCTTGTTGCCCAGGCTGGGGTGCAGTGGCACAATCATGGCTATCATAACCTTGATCTGCTGGGCTCAGGTGATCCTTCTGCCTCAAAATTCCAGGCAGCTGGAACTACAGGTGCATATCACTGTGCCCTGCTGATTTTTTTTGATTTAAGAGATAAGGCCTCGCCGAGTTGCCTAGGCTGGTCTTGAACTGCTGAGCTCAGGCAATCCTCTTTCCTCTGCCTTTCAAAGTTGGGATTATAGGCGTGAGCTGCTGTGCCTGACCTGTAATAATTCTTGTATTTAAATGTTTTAGACCAAAAGAGCAGATACTTAATCATAATGTCCTGTTCATAGTTCTTGAGTATCATTGGTTTATACAAGGCCCCTCTCATTATTTTTTTTTAAATTAATTCTCCTTCATTCCTATTCTTTTCCTATTCACCTTACCCACATTATATAGATAATATGTATCCTTTTCTGATGTGTTCTTATAAATACTTACTGTTTTGTATCCATGTATTTTATTTTATTTGTTTGTTTATTTTGAGTTGGAGTCTCACTCTGTTACCCAGACTGTAGTGCAGTGGCACGCTCCCGGCCACCACAGCCTTGATTTGCTGGGCTCCAGTGATCCTTCTGCCTCAGCCTTCCAAGTAGGCGCAACTACAGGTGCACACCATCACGCCCGACTAATTTTTGATTTATTGTTGAGATGAGGTCTTGCCAAGTTGCCCGGGCAGGTCTTGAACCCGTGGGCTCAGGCAATCCACTCACCTTGGCCTCCCAAAGTGCTGGGATTACAGGTTGAGCCATCAAGCCCAGCCTCCATGTATTTTAATTTGTGAATGGTGTGGTTATCCTTAATTCTGTTTCTTACTTTTATTCGCCTCTTTTTAAGGTCTCTCCAAGCTGTTGCTGTGCCCTTGGTTCATTGCTCTACGCACTGCATGATGTGATATGCATCCCCAGCATCTCCTATTCTGTTCCCCCAGTGAGGAACTCAGACTGCCTTCAACTCCCCACCTGCATTGTCCTCTACCAGTTCACTCATAGGCCTGTGTGAGAGTTGCTTTGGGAGCATAGCAGCAGGGCCTGGTCAGGTGAAAGGATATAAACAAATATCGAACAGGACTCCAGAGTGCCAGTTTTCCTCTTCAGCATGGCTGTTGCTCCTGCCAGTGCTGCATGAACATTCCTTTATCCATCCCCTGCCCTCATCACTTGGCACTCTCCAACATTTTAATCTTTTAAGTCTCTTTTTACTTTGTATTTTCTGATTACTAATGAATTTGGTGTCTCTTTATAGGCTTTTGAGTTTCTTCTTTTGAAAATTGTCTCTCCATATCAACTGCCTCTTTTTGTGATGGGGTTGTGTTTGTTGATGTGCAGTATTTTTCTTGTGTATTTTAATTTTTAGTCCTTTTTGGTGTTAGAAATTGTGCTGCATCTTGCAGTCTGTTTTCTGCCTGGTAACTTGCCCTTAATGTTTTTCATTAATTAGAAGATCTTAACTTTGATATTATTAAATTTATCAGTATTTTTTGTTAAGATTTTTGTTTTGGTTGTTTTGTCCCCTCCCCCAGTATTTTAATAAGATTTTTTTTCCTCCCTTGTACCTCAGATACTCTTGTCTTCTGTTGACTTTAAAGTTTTGTCTTTGGTTTAAGTCTTTAATTCATTTGGTGCCCAACTTTATATGTGGTGTTAGGGATTTTTATTTATTTATTTAGTGGTCATGTATCATTTTTTCCAAAAGCAATGTTATAATTTTGGGGAACAGTAGAAAGAAAAAAAAGATTAGGTAGGCACAGGGATTTATAGCCAGAGAATAGTCTCATCATATACCCACTACTGTCTCCTGGGAAACTGCTGTTCTACAAATCTCACTAAAACTAAATTTAAGTCAAAACAACAGAGATTATATCTAGATTTTTTTCCCACCAGGAATCTTACTTTGCTATGTTGTTAAGTTTTTCTAATTGACTATTAACATTGAGTATATGGATCTTATTTTTTTACTTCATAGATAGCAAACTGACCTTTTTTTGGGAAGGAGAATTATTTAAAATAGCTTATAAGAGATTTTGTGGTGGATGTCTTATTTTAATTTTCAGGTGACTTACTGAGTAACCTGTTGCAGAGTCCTAGCTCAGCCAAATTGTTGAATCAACCAATCCCCATCCTTGATGCGGAGAGTGAGTATATCTGTTCACTGGCCTTGGAGTGCCTGGCCCATCTCTTCAGTTGGATTCCTCTGTCTGCCAGCATCACCCCGTCCCTCCTCACCACCATCTTCCACTTTGCGCGCTTTGGCTGTGACATCCGGGCCAGAAAGATGGCATCAGTTAACGGCAGCAGCCAGAACTGTGTTTTGGGTCAGGAACGCGGCCGGCTTGGGGTTCTGGCCATGTCCTGCATCAACGAACTCATGTCCAAGAACTGTGTGCCTATGGAGTTTGAGGAGTATTTACTGCGTATGTTCCAGCAGACTTTCTACCTCCTGCAGAAAATCACCAAGGATAACAATGCCCACACAGTGAAGAGCAGGCTAGAAGAGCTCGATGAGAGGTAATGAAAACAGGTGTGGAGCCGGTGTGCCCCAAGAAAGGGCCTTGACTGTTTATCATGCTGTCTGCATAGTGTCTGTAATCCTCTTTGATTTCAGAATGTGGGGCTCCTGGTGAAGAACAGAAAGGTAGGTGTGTACCAGTAAGTCTGCAAGTAGCTGGAAGGGCTAGGGAGGTTGAGGGAAATGAGTGAGTTCAAAATGTGTTCATGGATTGTGTAGGTTGGTTGTCTTTTTTCCCCATCCGCCTCCTGTCCTCCCTTCCACTCCTCTCTCCCCCTCTTCCTCACTATTTGCCTGCAGGTCTGTGGTGGAGCAGGAACTGAGACTGCAGCTCATGTGTAGCCAAGAACAGGAGAAGAGATCCATGGAGGTACAGGAGTTACAATCGCCCTTTCTCACCTGGTGTTTCTTGTCAGTTTTTACTATTTGGCTTTTCTCAAGTAGACATCTTGAAGTGTATAGGGATGTTGTTGTTATCCTGAGTTTTACACCAATGGCACGTTTTAATCAAAAGATAGAGAGATGTTAATGTGGGCACAGGTATATTTCTTTGTGGGTTTTGTTTTTGTTTTGAGACAGTGTCTCATTCTGTCACTCATGCTGGAGTGAGGTGGTATAATCCTGGCTCACTGCAGCCTTAAACTCTTCTTGGCCTCAAGTGACCCTCCCATCTCAGCTCCCATGCCCAACTGGTTTTTTTATTTTTGTGGAGACAAGATCTCAATATGCTCCCCAGGTTGGTCTTGAACCCCTGGGTTCAAGCTGTCCTTCCACCTCAGCCTCCCAAAGTGCTGGGATTACAGGTGCGAGCCACCATGTCCAGCCTATATATTTTTTTTTTTATTGTCCTCTTGAACGGAGCCTAAAATTACCTAGCCTTTTTTTTCTTTAAGTACTCTAAAAGATGACTCCATCATGGTACTCTGAGTCAGGTTCTCATTATTTATTTCCCTTGTAGATGAGATCATTTGTATGTCTTATAAATTTCATTAACATGATGCTACTACTGAATAAAAATGAGAGAAATTGGAATCTTGTGAACAATCATGTTGATTGTTCAGAAACTTTCAAGCAGATAAGTCATATTGAATTAGTAAATATTTACAGATTGCATGGCAGCAAAAGTTGTTAATATTTTAATCTGAATAAAACAAAATATAAAGTCAGATGCCTAAAGTTAAGAAAGTTTTAGTGCTTTTTAAATTGGGCAGTTTTATTAAATTTTTCCAAAGTTAAAAAGTTGTTGCATAAGATTATTTTGGTTTGATTTATTATAAACATACTTTGTGCTTTGCATAATTATAAAGGAACTCATAATCTGATATGGTAGTATGTTTTTAAAAATTATTGGCGATAGCTTTCTATATGAATTTCAAGGCATCAGAATTCAGAGTTTTATATCCTTTCTTGCACTGCTTAAGAATCACTGTATTTTCTTCATATTTTAATGGTCTGTGTGTCTCATGTCAGTATTTCTTCATATGTTAATATAAAAAGATCTAGTTGCTTGTATGAACCAGCAAATACTAGTTGTTTTGACTTTAAGCCATAAGGTAGTTAAAGATATTTGTTGTGGCTTACATTTGGATAGTGTAGAAATGTCATAATGAATTTCATCTATGTACTGATTTTGTTATGTGTAACTTTTGTGCTCTTGGTTTTATATTTTAATCCTATGCTTCCTATTGCCCTGCGAAAGCTGAGAGGTGCCTGAGAGCAGAAAGGTGACATAATACTGTGTGCTTGCTTCCTGGCTCTGGGGTCCCTTACCACTAATTCTAAACAGCTCAGGCCACTCTCAGTTGTTTAGGAGCTGCTTAACCAGGTCCTTGGCTTTTCTTCTCTTCTACTGCCTTTCCCCCTAACTTCCTACTGTTCATTAGCACCTGTACCAGAAGGTGGGCAAGGGAAAGAAAATGAGGTGAAATAAAATCTGTAGTTTTAGCAACTGAACAGCCTTGTTTGTGTGTTTTTTTCTAATTGGGTTGGAGATTAAAATAAAATTTAAGATTGCTCCTTATTTTACCCATGGCTTCTCTTTCTTCTTTTTGTGGGTGGTAGGGAATTTAGTTTACCTTCCTAAAGAACAGTAAACTGGTTGGTGACTTTGAATATCCGTGTAAGACTATAATATAATACACAAGCTAAGTTAGGAATGAGGAGTTCCTATTGTTCCTACTCTTGAGAATAGTGAATGAAGACATTAGCAAGAAGTCTCTGTACTTTTCTGTGATTTTTATTGTTTTTCTTTTTTTTTTGAGTTGAAGTCTCACTCAGTCGCCCAGACTGGAGTGCAGTGGCCGCTCCCGGCCACCACAGCCTCGACCTGCTGGGCTCCGGCAATCCTTCCGCCTCAGCCTTCCAAGTAGCTGGAATTACAGGCGCACACTACCACTCCTGGCTAATTTTTTTGATTTATTATAGAGATGAGGTCTCGCCAAGTTGCCTAGGCGGGTCTTGAATGCACAGGCTCAGGCAGTTCACTCACCCGGCCTCCCAAAGCGCAGGATTACAGGCTGAGCCACCAAGCCCGGCCATTTTTATTGTTTTTCAAGCATCATTCCCTGATCCACAGAGACAGCTCTTCTCCTTATGAAAACAAATTAATAGATATTTTTAAAAAGCTGCAAGTAAGCTCATGTATGTGTGAGCCAGCCATATAGAGGTCAGACAGGCAGGTTGGCCTCCCTCAGGGAGATAGGTCTCACAAACAGTATGGAACATTTTATTTCTGGGCCAATTTTGCTTTACTAAGGGGTAGTCATCTTCTTCCCCTTTATTATTTCACATCTCTGCTTTGAAAAATTGCTTTTGCAGTTATGAGTTTCAGAATTACTTGTAGCCATTATTTCATTTTCAGCTAAGGCCTAGTATGTCTTTGCCTTTTTTGTTGGTCTCTGAAATGTGATTTATGAAGGTATGTCCATCTCATTTTCTAATCACCTTTTGGTATTTAGGGGCTTAAAATGACAGTTTTTGAAATGTGAGAGTGATGATGTGCTGTGTATTTAATAACAAAATCTCTTATCCTTGCAGCTGTGACCCACACTCTTCTGTGAACTGATTTTGTGAATACAAATGAATTGGGGATTCACTGTGAAGTGAAAAGAAAGAGCTCTGGATTGGGAGTGGATGATAGTCCTGTTCTGCCATGAGATGGCTGAGTGACTTTGGGCTGGTCACTTCATCTCTCTGGGCTTCATCTGTAAAATGGAAGCATCAGACTAAAGTCCCTGAGGCTTGTCCAGTTCTAATAACCTTCCTCCCTTATATTTGAAATCACTTTTAAAGTGGATTGGGATGTGCTATGTTTAATTAGCACCGGGAGCCAGAGGGGGAATAATGAGGTTGCAAGCCTGAATATTCTTGCCTGGATACCATGTACTTTGTGTAGCTTGGTTTTGCTTTGTGCCTTTAGCACAATTCATTTTAGTATTTTGGCCACCTTGCAAAGAAAACTAACCTTCCAGACTTGCCAGATTAAAATGACACAGTGATCTGCCCAACATCTTTTAACATCATTTCCTTTCACTTTAATTGGGTCATAACACTAATGAGTTAGAAAATGTGAGAGCATTAGCTTATAAAAAGCCTTAGTAATAGTGTCTGAGGATTAAAGTTGCTTTTCTGCTATGTTTCAGGTGGTAATGGAATGAAGGGTTGCCTGTCCTGTAGGTAATTGTTGCAGGCCTTTATATTTTTAACAGAAAATATATTGTAAATCTGTGTAGTTCTGTACTGAAAGAAATTTGGATTGAATTTAAGTTCTCTTCTAAAGAGGTAGCTGGGTTTCTTATTGTCACCTTTTGTCTTCTTGTCTCATATAGCTACATTGAGAAGTTTACTGACTTTCTGCGGCTCTTTGTGAGTGTTCACCTAAGAAGAATTGAGTCTTACTCCCAGTTTCCTGTGGTGGAGTTTTTAACACTTTTGTTCAAGTACACATTTCATCAGGTAAAGCACCAAAACCATCCTTCCTTTCCAGACAGGGTCTACCATGTTACTTTCAGGAGGGAGAACTTGTTTATTTTAATTTTGTTTATTATTGACAATAATAATAGCACCTACCCTCACAGAGTTATTAATCTTCATAACAACTCTGTGAGGGTAGGTACTATTATTATTGTCAACTCCATTTGCCAGATAAAGAGACTGAGGCAAAATGAGTAACTTGGGCTGGGTATGGTGACTCACATCTGTAATTCCAGCACTTTGAGAGGCCAAGGTGGGAGGATTGCTTGAACCCAGGAGTTTGAGACCAGCGTGGGCAACATAGTAAGACCTTGTCGCTACAAAAAAAGCTGAGTGTGGTGGTGCCGTTAATTTTCAGGACCTAGACATATAACCTTCACAAACAAAGCTCTTGGCCTTCATTGAGTTTACATTCTAGTGACCCAGTATTTTTATATACACACATACATGCACACATGCACATATATATAACTTTATTGAGGTATAATTTTTATACCATGCAATTCATTCATTGTAAGTGTATAGTTCAGTGATGTTCAATGAATCCATAGAGTATCACCACTGTCCAATTTTAGCTATTTCTGTCATACCCTATCCCTGTGCTTGTTTGTATGTGACACATATTTACAGAAAAGTGCATAAATCATGCATATATAGTTTGATGAATTTTCCCAAAATGAACACTCCCGTGTAACCACCACTTAAGTCAAGAAATAGAATGTTAGCCGGGCTTGGTGGCTCAGCCTGTAATCCTGCGCCTTTGGGAGGCTGAGGTGAGTGGATTGCCTGAGCACGTGGGTTCGAGACCCGCCTGGGCAGCGAGACCTCATCTCTACAATAAATCAAAAAATCAGCCGGGCGTGGTAGTGCATGCCTGTAATTCCGGCTACTTGGAAGGCTAAGGCGGAAGGATCGCTGGAGCCCAGCAGGTCGAGGCTGTGGTGGCCGGGAGCGGCCACTGCACTCCAGTCTGGGCGACAGAGTGAGACTCCAACTCAAAAAAAGAAAGAAAGAAATAGAATGTTACCAACACTTTAGAAATCCCCTCATGACCCTTACAGTCACTTCCCCTCCCTTATTCCCTGAAGTAACCCGATCCTGACCTTCACTCAACAGATTTGTTTTGCCTGTTTTAGAACTTCTCTAATTGAAAGCATGTAATGTATATTTGTTTTATCTGGGCTTTTTTGTTTGATACTGTGTTTGTGAGATCCACTTGTGTGTGGCAGTAGTTTGCCCCTTTTTACTTGTATTATCTTCATTGTCTGTAAGTTCATCCTATTGCTGATTCGGCTGCTTCTGGTTTTTGGTGATCATGAATCGTGTTGCAGTGTACTTTCTTATATATGCTTTTTCATGTACATGGGTAGCTCTTTTTGTTGGTAAGTACCAGCGATGACACTGCTGGGTCAGTGAACACATCTGATTTTAAAAGTAGACTTTAAAAAAAGATCACTGATATTGTAGCCTAATATGACTGGAGGAGAGGCAAAATCTAGACTTGGAAGGATTGTGTGGATATGGTAGGGGATTTGGAGCAAGGATTTGGTGTGAAAGCTAGCCTTTCTCAAGGAAGGACCTAGCACATAAAAACATGAGTACCCACTAGTGAGGAGGAGCCATTCCTGGGAGCAGAGGGAGCAGACAGGTGGTGGAAGAGGAGGACCAAAACTTGAAGAAGTGTCAAGATGTCTGATAGAGGGGCCAATGCATTCAGAACAAGAAGGAAAGCATGGTGAATTCACCAGGCCTAGGGAGGAATAGAAGAGATAGTGGGAGGGTAAGGATGTAGGGGAGAAGCATCAGAGGTGGTAAAGTTTTTTATTTTATTTTTTTGTGTCAGGGTCTTACTCTGTCACCCAGGCTGGAATGCAGTGGGCACGATCACGGCTCACTGCAGCCTTGACCTGGGCTCAGATGATTCTCCCACCTCAGCTTCCAAGTGGCTGAGACTGCAGGCACGTGCCACCATACCTGGCTAAGTTTTTGATATTTTGTGGAGACGAGGCGTACTCTGTTGGTCAGGCTGGTCTCAAACTTCTAGGCTCAAGCCGTCTTCTTATCTTGCCTCCCAGAGTGTTGGGATTACAGGCATGAGCCACTGTACCCAGCTGAGAGGTGGGAAAGCTTTAAGACAGAGCCAGGGAGATCTTAAAGGAGACCAGAAGAAAAGAATTTGAGAGAATGTTGAGTGAGTGTTAAATAGCTACCTTAGGATAAGTGAGGCAGGAAAGAAAGAGAAAAGGAGTCAGTGCTGAGGTCAGAAAGAAGGGGCTTGTTTGAGGAAATGAAATGAAAATGTCTTAAAATTTTAATCTATATAAAATTGAGTCTTTTAGTATATAGTATAGAAGAAAGCTAAAAAAACATGTTTCAAAGTATGCAAGCCAGCCGGGCTCAGTGGCTCAGCCTGTAATCCCGTGCCTTTGGGAGGCTGAGGTGAGTGGATTGCCTGAGCCCGCAGGTTCAAGACCCGCCTGGGCAGCGAGACCTCATCTCTACAATAAATTAAAAAAAAATCAGCTGGACGTGGTAGCACATGTCTGTAATTCCAGCTACTTGGAAGGCTGAGGCGGAAGGATCGCCGGAGCCCAGCAGGTCGAGGCTGCAGTGGCCGGGAGCGGCCAGTGCACTCCAGTCTGGGCGACAGAGTGAGACTCCAACTCAAAAAAAAAAAAAAAAAAAAGAATTCAAGCCTACTTTTTTGGACTTGAACCCCAAAATTCTGTATTTGAAGTCTGGTTATTTCTATAGGTCTGTGTCCTTGGACAAATCTTTTTAATTTCCTTGGATTTCAGTTTCCTTGCCTAAGAAGATAGACTACAGTGGGTATCTTCAGGGTCTTTCCCAGTATTTATCTTTTAAGATTATTTTCCATTGAACTGAAAGTGGTGGTTTTATGTATTTATATATTGGGAAAACAAATAGATGTGATTATGAAATAAACAACAAGCTGCTGCTTCTTAATACTTCCTGCTCCTTAACAGGTGAGCTCCTTTGTGCTCCCCTGGCCTCCTGTATGAAGACCTTTCTTTCTGCTTGCAGGCTTGTGGGAATAGATGTGTCCTTGAGGTCCAGGCAAAAAACAGATTCTGAGCATTAGGTAGAGTGACAGGAATCTGGAAGGTGTTCTACCTCAGTTTCCTCTGGGTAAACTAGGGTAGGCTTTTCTTTGCAGGGGAGGCAGTGTAGAGAAAAGATTAGAGTGCTTGGATCAAGGCTTGGTGGTAGGGGAATTCTTTGGGATGAGATTTAAGAATAAGAAATTTAAATGATCTTGAGAGAGCTTAAAGTTCTTATCTATTTACTTATATATGATCTTACTCTATCATAGCTTTATTGTCTGTAACATGAGAAAGTGTGTCTTTTCTCTTGTCTAGAGGATTAATATGAGCATACTTATTATTTTTGCCTTTTCTTTCTGAAATTCACAGAAATTTTAGTACTTGCATGTGCCACTTGACAGGGAAATGTTCTGACAAATGTGTCATTAGGTGATTTCATCATTGTGTGGACATCATAGAATGTCTTTACATGAACCCAGAGGGTATGGCCTACTATACACACAGGCTATCTGATGTAGCCTGTTGCTCCTAGGCTACAAACCTGTACAGCGTGGTACTATACTGAGCACCCTAGGCAGCTGTACCACAATGGTATTTGTGCATTTAAACATATCTAAATATAGAAAAGGTAGAGTGAGCCAGGCTCGGTGGCTCAGCCTGTAATCCCGCGCCTTTGTGAGGCTGAGGTGAGTGGATTGCCTGAGCCCGCGGGTTTGAGACCTGCCTGGGCAGTGAGACCTCATCTCTACAGTAAGTCAAAAAATCAGCCGGGCGTGGTAGCACATGCCTGTAATTCCAGCTACTTGGAAGACTTAGGCGGAAGGATCACCGGAGCCCAGCAGGTTGAGGCTGCATTCCAGTCTGGGCAACAGAGTGAGGCTCCAACTCAAAAAAAAAAGAAAAAAGGAAAAAAAGAAAAGGTAGAGTGAAAATACAGTATTATAATAATCTTATGGGACCATCATCATATATGCATATGCAGTCCATCATTGAACAAAATGATGTTAGTGTTTCATGACTGCACTGATAAAAATATTTTTAAAGAATGGAAATAAGACAGAGGATCGGGCTAGTATCTTTAACTCTTTCTCCTTTTCTGTTTCTTTTCCTGCATTTTTTTTTTAACCTAAGTGTCTTGCTGCCAGTCCCTTCAGCTGCTAGTGCTCACCAGATCTTTGCCTCCACCATAACTTGCCTTGCTTGTTGATCCTCTTGAGTGTCTGCAAACCTATGATTTCTCTTTCTGTCCTGATCTTACTGTATCCTCACCAGTTTCTTCTGGGTCTTGCCGTTGCATTTTACTTCGTATTCCTAAAATAGTGCCTGAGATTGTAAGCCTAGGGACTGTGGACTTGGAGGGAACCTTAAGATCTGTATTCGCATTCTGATTTATTCCTCACCTTGGGCAGGTGATACTTCTGAGCCTTGATTTCTTTATCTCTGAAATGGGAGATGAAAAATATTTGTCCACTTACCAAGACTTATAAGGATCAAATAGACCAATGTAAATGAAAGCTAAATATTATACACCTCTTGGAAGATGGTAGTGGAATTATTCATTTCTTAAAGAAACCTGTCAGGGCCAGGCACAGTGGTTTACACCAGTAATCCAACACTATGGGAATCCAAGGTGGGAGGATTGCTTGCTTGAGCCAGAAGTTTAAGACCAGCCTGGGCAACATAGCGAGATTCCCTACCCCAACTCTACAAAAAATAATATTAAAATTAGCTGGGCATGGTGGCACATGCTTATAGTCCTAGCTACTTGGGAGGCTGAAGTGGGAGCCCAGGAGTTTGAGGGTACAGTGACCTTTGATCATACCACTGCACTTCAGCCTGGGCAACAGAACAAGACCCCATCTCCCCTCAGAAAAAAGGAAAAAGAAGGAAAGGAAAGAAGAACAAGGACAAAGGAAAGGAAAAAAAAGAAGGAAAGGAAAAAAGAAACCTGTGAGTATTTTTCAGTGATCAGTTAGCCCTGGAGTCTGAAGAGTAAATCTGAGTCCAGATACATTTTAAAACTGGGTTTGTGAAGGTTCTGAAAAGTTAAGTAACTCTAAAAGTGGAGCCAACTCATCATTTTTATGATCTTAGTGACCTGTGTCCACAGTGATTATCAAAGACCAGGTCATAGGCAGCCTGTGAGCAACACACGAGCCCTCACAGTGGGGCCTGCAGATGTGGTTGTAGAAGGTGGTGTTTCAGGTTGTACAAGGGGTGATTCTTCTCACCTTTTGTCCTGACCTTGAGTCATGTAGTAAATCCTCAATTCAGAGATATGAAGATTAAATGTATGATTATAAAGTACTTTGACATAGCTGTAAAACTTGGATTTATGTGGTGGCTTATCTCAAAAGCACTTCCACATGCCTCTGATCACTTATGGTCTTTTGAAGGAGCTGATGGGTATTTTTAAACCAAGGAAAGATGACTGGGTGACTTACTTAAAGGAAGCTCAGCAAGTTGAAGCCAGGACAAGATTGTCTCTCCTGGATGTACAAGTCTGGTGGCCTATCTACAGACTACCCATGTAGTTTTCACATGGCTTATTAATTGTTTTTTTTTTCTGGTTATTCCCCTGGTTCATTTTATGTCACGGATATCCCAGGCTTTGCCAAGTATGAAGTGGGCACAGGACATGGTTATTCTGTTTTCTGAGGTTGGTCCTGTCAGTCGTCCTGATGGAGCTGTAGAAGTCTAGTTCCAGAGCTTCTCTTTGGGATGTGAAGTTGGAATCTGCCTGGTTTTTTAAGTTATAGTTTTTCTGTCTCAAACTTGGGTGCAGAACTCCCACTGCATACCAGCACCCAATGTTAGTTATTCCTTGGACAATTCCTTGTATACCTCTGTAAGCTGATCCGAGGCAACTGATCCAGGAAGGTGATGGCATTATTTCTTTTCATATCTGATCTTGCCACCAAGTAATGTCGTTCATTGAGGCAGTTGCTGGCAAAACCGAAGGGTTCTTGTAGGTAGTGAGAATTTGAGTGAATGTACCAGGGATTGAGGGCTACAAGTTGAACCTAAATGTGTATGAGCTGTTGGGGAGTGTAGGGCCTTGATTTTTCGTGAAATAGAATCCCAAAGTTCTAGCACAATGGTCTAGGCAAAAGAATTCTGAAGTATCCTACTTTTCACTTTGTCCCTATCAACCTGGTTAGAGGTTGCTGTTAGCCAATTTGACGCCCTTTTACAAATGGAATAATATCCTGAGGGTCAGATCTAATGAGCTTATTTTCAATCTGTTATATAGGAAAACTGCAGATATTACTTATTTTTTAATGTTTTATTGTGTGAACCTGTCACCTTTGTAGCCACCAAAACTTATTTTTGGTTTTAAAGTGGTTTGTAGTAGAAAGAATATTGGCTAGAGTTGTGGGGATCTGCTTTTACCCCTGACCTTGAATAACTCATACTTTTGGATCTCAGTCTCTTTCTATTTAAAATAATTTGAATTAGATGATCTGTCAGCGCCTTCTTCATCAGTCTCAGATTTTTTTTTTTTTTTCCAGTGAGAAAGCAGGATTTATTGAGAGGATAGAAAAGCTCCCACAGTGGGAGAGGACCCAAGGGGGTTGCCCAATCTCAGATTTTAAAATAGATTTTTGCTTGGCTTATTTTACAACTCAGTTTATTGTGCGTATTATTTCCCTAATTATGTGTTGTTCCATGGTGCCCTTGTCTTTTGTTAGGCTCACTAGGACCTGATGGTGAATGAAGGCTGACTAAAATCCATCCACCAGTTTTGGTTACTAGGAAACTGAGGGAATCTAGGTTTTATGGTTTTACCATTCTGGTAGAATAAACACTGATGTGTGTGTGTGTGTCTGTGTGTTTCTGAGAATGGCTGCATTAAATAATTTCATTGTTTGGATTTCTTTTGTACCATAGCCTACTCACGAAGGTTACTTCTCTTGTTTGGATATCTGGACACTCTTTTTGGACTATCTGACAAGTAAAATTAAAAGTCGTCTTGGAGACAAGGAAGCAGTTCTCAACAGGTAAACCCCACAAACACTGATAACTAGAAATCATCGTTTTCTACAGTGAGTCTGGTGGCCAAAGGGGGCAGCCATGCCACTGGGTCTCTTCAGTGATATTGAGTTACATAAGCTATTGAAACAGTAATGCCACTGAGCATTTTCTTTTAATTATCTTTTCTTTTTTTTAAAAAAATTAATTTTTTTCATTTTCTACTTACTTCCTGAGAAGTAGAATATCTTGTTTTCTTAAAACATTTTTTTCTGATTAGAAAAAAAAATAAGTGTTACTAACTTTTCAGGTTTGATAATACTTAGTGTATTACATTTTTTAAAATGGCTTTTATTTTAGAGATACAAACTTAAGTAGTCATTGGACAAAATGATATGACATCTGGGATTTGTTTTATAATAACCCAGTGGGGGTAGAAGGGAAGTGGGTTGGCATAGAGAAGAAACAGGGCTAACCATGTGTTGGTAATTGATGTTGGAGTCAGTTGATAGGAACTTGGGGTGCATCATGTTCTTATTCCTTTTGTATGCATTTTAAAATTTCCTAAATACTTGTTATGGGAAAAGTGTTTATTTTTAAAACTAGGCAAAAATACAGAAAATATAAGGAAGAAAAATTATTCATAATCCCACACTCCAGAGATAGTTGCTTTTGTACTTTTTATTGGATTATTTAAAAACAGCAATTGGGAAAAGGTTTGTATTTCCTCCATGTGTTTCTCAAACCCATTTTCCCTAATTGTGGACAGAAAGTATATTTCCTGTACATACAATATGATCTTAGTGCCACTGTGTGGGAAGAAGAGGAGGGGAAGGTGGAGATTCAGCATACTGGAAAATAATGGTAGGATCCATATATGGGGAAAGTAAAGATGACTGCTTTTCTTAGCAGAAATGTATGCATAATATTCTCAGTATGTGGCTGTATTCCAGTCACATAGTGAACAAGTGTTTATGTGAAAGAGTTAAAAAAAAAAAACCCCTCCATATTTTACATTGTAGAATCAGAGCAGTTTCTTATTAAACTAAACATGTCTTATATTTTTAATGCACATGTATGGGATTACAAGCTAGGTGATCTAGCCCTAGGTGCCCTATCATCCTTAAGAGAGTGCTTGCAGATTTTACTTACTTTGGATATAGCTCTTGCTTCTTTGCATGGTTTTATAAGAGCAATTTCAGATTAGATGGTCATTGTATGTAAAACCTGTCCAGTGGATGAGGGAGGTTTTATTTTATTTATTTATTTATTTTTTGAGTTGGAGTCTCACTCTGTCGCCCAGACTGGACGGCCACTGCAGGCTCGACCTGCTGGGCTCCGGTGATCCTTCCACCTCAGCCTTCCAAGTAGCTGGAACTACGGCGTGTGCTACCACGCCTGGCTGATTTTTTAATTTATTGAAGAGATGAGGTCTCGCCAAGTTGCCGGGGCGGGTCTCGAACCCACGGGCTCAGGCAATCCACTCACCTCAGCCTCCCAAAGCACGGGATTACAGCCTGAGCCCAGATCCCGGCTGAGGGAGGTTTTATAATGTGGGAGCCATGACTGGGATTCGGGCAGACCTAGGTTTGAATCCTGGTTTTGTAGTTCTGCTTGGGTAAGATATTTAGCTTCTGGATGTTTCTGTATCCTTGTTGGTAAAATGGAGATAATGATAAAAGTTGTTGAGACATTAAACGAAATAGCAGACTGACTTATTTAGAATGCTTGGCACATTCTAAATGCTCAGTAAATGGTACCAGAGATTGGTGATGGAGTTAGTGAATACTTCTCCAGAAATGTGTCATATGAAGGGAAGTAGAGAGGAGAAACTCAGAGAAGAGCAGTTTGACTGGACCTTTAAAGGCCTTTCCATTGCTAGGGTTGGTTGGTTTTAAGAGACATGGTTTTGTTCTGTTGCCCAGGCTGGAATACAGCAGCACAATCATGGCACACTGCAGCCTTGAATTCCTAGGCTCAAGCAGTCCTCCCACCTCAGCCTCCCGAGTAGTTAGGACTACAAGCATGCACCACCATGAATGGCTAATTTTTTTCTTTTAATTTTTGTACAGTGAGTTCTCACTGTGTTGCTGAGACTGGTCTCGAACTCCTGGCCTCAAGTGATCCTCCCACCTCTGCCTCCCAATGTGCTGGGATTCCAGATGTGAGCCACTATATCTGGCCCATTGCTGAGGTTCAATGAGTTTTAAAAATATAAATAGAAGCTGCATGTGGTAGTGTGTACCAGTAGTCCTAGCTACTTGAGAGGCTGAGATGGGAGGATTGCTTGAGCCCAGGAGTTAAACGCCATAGCACATGATCAAACCTGTAAATAGCCACTGCACTCCAGCCTAGGCAATAGAGACCCCCATCTTAATTTTAAAAAACTTCTAAACAATGTTTTCATTCCAAGTTTAAACATTTGCGTGTTTTTTGTTGTTCTCAAACATTTTTGTGATTGCTTAATAGCTTCTAAGTTGCTACAGTGTCAGGTCACTTGTGGCTGTACGTTTTATGTATCAAATCTTATTACATAGTAGGAGATACTGCTTTTGGTGAAGTTGATGCTTTGTGTTTTAATATTGTTATTTATTTGTCTGTCTTTCTGTCTGTCTATCTGAGTCGGTGTGGTTATGTCTCACTGCAGCCTCAATCTCCTGGGCTCACAGGCATGCACCACCATGCCTGGCTAGTTTTTTGATTTTTTTTTTTTTTTTTTTGTAGAGGCAAGTGAGGTCTAGCTATGTTGCCCAGATTGGTCTTGAACTCCTGGGCTCCAGCATTCTTCCTATCTCTCCCTCCCAAAGTGCTGGGATTACAAGGCATGAGCTACTATGTCCCACCACCAACTTTAAGTAATTGTGTTTTTGAATGAGATTCTTAAAAAAAGAAGAAAGATATTTTGCAAAAATCTCTCTCATATGCTGAACAGGTATGTCTTTTGGTTCTGAGACTGTCTGATTTTTCTAAATTTAGTAGTAGATATTCCTTCATATCTTGCTGAGAGAATAAGTTGAGAAAATTATTAATATGAAAGTGCTTTTTAAAGCACAAACGGGAGGCATGAAGAATATGGATCAGTTGAGAAAATGATATACTAGCAGATTAGTAGTATTAAATATACATTTGTGCAGAATGTTATACTAATAGAAGGAGTAGCAATATAGAGAGTTTAAATTTCTTTACTACTTCGTGGTAGCAGTGTTACTTTTGGTTAAGTTATATGGTGATCACATATCCTCTTGCAAGATGGACATACTTAATACCTCTCTGGAAGGATGACTAGGATTCAGGGAAATCATGTATGTAAAATACCTGGTGTAGCATATAGATATAGTAGGCACTTAGTAAATGGTCACAGTAATGACAACAACAATAAGTAATAGAAAATGTTACTGCCATTTAACTGTAGAAGTGGTCATGAAGTTAGGTGGCAGGGCCTCTGGACAGTCTGAAGACCTTTAGCCTATCTGCAGAGCTCACTTTCCTGCCCAGGCATTTGTCAGTGATTCTGGCCGACCCCTTTAAACACTAGAAATTTTTCTCATCAATCATTTGATTATTACTCTAAATGAGACTTTCTAATTTTTCATGACTCATTTAAAAAATATATATACATTTACATATAACACTTTTATACCTTTCTAAAAAAACCAAAAAAACCTCAAAGCTGGTCTTTGGTTTATGCTATTAAATAGCAATCACCATAGGGGGAACTGCTTGTCCTATCAGACACCCCCTCCTGGTCTGGGAGACAGTGAACTACAAAGAAGGGTGGGTCAGGTAGTCCAATGGGTGCACAAAGAAAATATTTGAACTTTAGCTTATAATATATTTTTTCTGCCATCCTTTACATTATATGTTTATCTGTGCTTAAAAGCTTTTAAATTAAGATTTTCAAAGTTTGGCAGTCGCTGCTGCAGTTTATGAGAGACCCTAGTATGTCAGAGGTGTACTGTTTGTTTTGCGGGAGCAACTGATACAGAACACTGGATGCCAGCATTTCCACGTTTAGTTTAACTACAAGCTCGTAAATGTGATCAAATGTTTTTCAACTGATAAAATGGAAGCACGTTTGTGACTTAAGCCAGAAGTTTAGAAACAACCAGTCTTGCAGGAAGTCGTCAAAAATGTTTTCTTGTGTGTTAAATGGGAAGCGTGGTGTGGTTAAGTCACAAAGGCAGTGCTCAGTTCCTGTGCCTTGCGGTTTAAAGGTTTTACATCATTCATCCCAACAAAGCGGTAAGCGTTGTAGGCCGCAAATTTAGAAGCACAAATGTACATGGATTTATTTTTGGTTCTAGAGCTTAGAAATTGGAGCTTTTCCTGTTCCTTGCCTAGTGAAAATGCTCAAGGCTTTCTGGATCAGAGCTTGTAGGACTTGAGAGAACCGGAGTCTCAGTGTTAGTGGGATTAATGTCCTGTAACGTACCCTGCAGAGCAGTCTTGCTGTTAGGGTAGATTGTCCTGATTGCCATTTTGAGGTTGTTACTGAATTTCAGTTTTCTTTTCCTTATTTGCACTTTAGGGATGGTTGTGCCTTCCTCACAAGCTGCTGAGAGAGTGTAAAGAATAAGCATTGGTTCTCTTCCCCTTTCTCACTCACTCCTTTCTCTTTGTGCTCATCAATGTGAAGGGAGTCTCCTGTGTAGAAACTTATTTTTACAGGAAGGTGAAGAAATCTGAACCTGTGAAGCAACCTAAAGTCATTGAGTCATATCCTGTGAATCTCTTTGTCATGAGAATACTGGCAAGTGCTGGCCATAGGGATTCTGGGTGACATTACATTGGACCGTAAACAAACGTGAGTGAGCATGAGAAAGAGTGCTATTTTTTGGGCGTGGTTATTCTGCTTAATAAAGAGGAAGTGCCCCTATGCCTCATGACATCTTGGTGCAGTTAATAGAAGGTAGGAAATAAGTTTAGATCAGAGGTGTCTGGTAGCTTTCTAGCTCCTGCTAAGAGACGTTCATGCTGTTGACTGCCCCACAGAGCAAGTGAATGGGGACTTAGTTATTTTATTGAGTTG